AAAAAATGAATTTTCTCGCTCAACTGAAAAGTGAAAGCAACTGTGCGTTGGTGGAATGAAATAATTTCATTCGGCACTGAGGCACCGACAAGCAGTTGGAAGTAGTTCATCCACCTAATGCACCGACTACAGACATGACCCGACCCTCCTCCTGCAAACCCGTTTGACACTGTTGGAAGTGTTTTATTGGATGAGGGCATTTCAAAACTGGATTTCAGTGACAAAAAATGTGTGGAGACCGGGGAGTGCTCCCATACAAAAGTAGCCATGAAATTATCTCCTGTGTTCTGAGAGCCACTTTGGTGAGGATTAAGTGGGATTATTTAAACTAACTACAATTTTTTCCGGTTATTTGCATAAGTTAGATTGTCCCCAAAACGTACTTTTCCTAATAAGATTAAAAAGCCTAAAAGGCAAAAACAATGACAATGGGAAAAAAAAACAACTGATTAAAGAACAAGCGGCGCTACATTCCCCTGACACATCCACTTAGTCAATGCACAAGTCGCAGACGTTGGACAATAACTAGTCTCGAAACCGAGATCTTACCCATCGTGACTATACTCTGATGCACACAGTCAACGCCGAAGCAGCTCAAAAGTGAATACATCTACAGAAAGTACAAAATGACCACACAAGATCATGACTATGCATACAGTCCTCTGCAGGACCTAAAATTCAGAACTTGGAAGACTGTAGGATGAGATTTAGACGTGGAAAATGGCAGAGCAATGCGAAATTACGACTGGTTTGAAGGTCGTCAATCGTGTAAGGAGTGAAACACGATGCATTGGCCGAAATCGATTTGGGAATTGCGGTAGAAGTAATTAAGCAATATAAGGATCTGGATGAGGTAGTACCATCAAAATGACTATTCTTTGACAAAACTGAAAGCACGAATAAAAGGGAATTGTAAGCCGAGAACTGCTCAATCCACAAGTTGTAAACATTAGGCAACAACTAGACTTGAAGCTGATGTACACAATCTACTCTCCAGCGCTATGGTGTAGCAGCTCAAAAGTGAATATTTCTACAGAAAGTACAAAGTGGTCATACACAAGCATGTCCATGCATACATCCTTTTACGTCCCCTGAAGATTAAAAAAAAACATCAAAACAGTAGGATATGAGATCGAGACGTAGAAGGTGGTAAAGCAAAGCCGAACTCCGATTGGTTTGGAGGTCACCATTCGTATAAGGAATGGCATCGAACACCCTCACCAATGGTGACTTAAGGAATGCGGTAGAATTGATTAACCAATAAGAGGGTCTGGATTAGCCAGTACTATCAGAGAAACCATTTCATGATAAAAAATGAAGCACGAACACAAGAGAATTGTAAGGCAAACTTTTGGTGATCGGAGTGAGCGGCACCGCAAGAGATATCAACCCATGCGAAATTTGTGACGACTAGGTAGGAGTGCTTTGAGGCCACGCATTTTGAGAAGCACACATGACCTTGTTAACACTTCACATTTTACAAATAAGATAATTCCCCAAAAAAGACGGAAAGGTAGACAGGTGAATTGCTCAGATAACTTCTTCAAGATTAAACCGTATGGTTGTATATCAAGGCAATGCCTCCCCCAACAATAAAAACGTAAAATTCACTAAATCTCTTCAAGGTAGATACGTCTCTTTTCATTATACTGACACCAGGGTCGTCATTACGAATACCGGATTATGAAGACATCTCGTGACAAATGTTTCAAGTAAGACAGGCCTTAGTGCCTGCCTACAATTTTTCATTTGTCACGTGAGATGATCCCACAGCATTAAAAAAGGCGCTCGAACCAATCCTAAAAGGTAAATTTGGTTGTGTTGCGCCCCTCAGTGCCTTTCTTAATGCACCACTCCCTCTCTGGCCTTGAATTCACGTAGTCAAGATATTAGGGAATATAATGTGAATTGGCAATCAGTGGCATAAGTGACGCACATGATTGCTTCACTTATGACCAGTTACAAATTGACGTGAAGAGGTCTCAATTGAGCCATTCCATTGATATAAGGGTTTCATTCGAGAATGTTGGATACAAAAATAATTGTATAATCGTACCGACATCATTATATGGTTTATTCTCTTGAAAAATGAACAAACCTCATAAAGTATTGTAGATTCAGCAGGTAGAATTATTCATTGTTCAGCAGTAAGTCCTCTCCCTCTGATATTAAATGGGATATGAAAAAAACCCTCCCGATACGAGCTACCCCATCTCATATTTCATGACCCGAATGTGTCATGTCCTGGCAGTAAGCTATCATCAGTGACAAACGCTCTGTGTGCTGTCAAATTATAAATTACCTAACTATCTAACCATTTAACTGCTACTAGCTTCCAAACAAAAGCATCTTAGACTCATTTCATTGTTTTGACGAGGGCAAGAAAATCGAGACGTGTGATATAATGTTGGCAACTCACAACAATGCCCAGGGCCATGGTGGTCTTTTTGCCTAGGCGTCGAAGCAGCACTTGGGCAAGAGGCACGAGAAGGATGGTGAAACCGAGGAGGCACAAGATACCCGGAATGAGGTAGTTGCTCATGTGCAAGGAGTGCGTGATGAAAAGTGCGATGTTGCCTTGCAGGAACTGCCAATGCAGAATAAGAGAATGAGAATTAAACAATTAAATAGAATACATTTGGAAAAGCGATTTGGCACTTTTTAAAGCATTTTGATAAAGCTGGAACGATGAAGCAGAGGAGTGGTTGTGCCTTTGTGAGGGACGGTCAAGATAAACAGTGGACAACTTCTCTAGGAAGAAAAGTAATAACGTGCCACTACCACATGCTCACTGAGGGTACTAACAGTCCAGATACACTCCGTGGATAGTCGAATTTAGACACTGTTGGTCAGAAGGGCAGGTAACAGTGGTGCTTTATGTTCGTAACAGAGTCTCCTGATCAAGTCTTTTGCGAACGAGCGAAAGAGTGAACGGACCTGTGCACACAGGACCTCCACCACAGCAATAGGATAGCAAAATACGAGCACAGACATTCCAAAGACTGACAGCCAGACGAAGTCCATCAACAAAGCTGCCCATCGCCGTGGTTCCCGGTTCACAGACAGCACTATACGCGGCCGGTGAACAGTGGGAAACCTACCTCATCCTCCACACTCCACTAACCTATAAGAGCTAATTCATTCTATGGGAACGGTGAACGTCATACAATCATTCATGAACATGTGCCACCGGTGATGATGACGATGTGAAGCAGGCTATCCTAGAACGGTTTCTCCACACTGATGAATGTTTCCGTGCGGAAGGTGCTTTCCAGGGATTGGCTAATCACTGGAATGCTTATACACGCAACTGTGGGAGAGAAACAACGAGAAAATAAATGCGACTGCACCTCGTTTAAATGAATTGGCCTCATTTAATTGCGTAAAGGTTCGAGCTTCATTCAAATGCATCTCGTATTTGGAAAACAACGAATACAGTCATGGAGGCTGGCCGTTGAAAGGATAGACTGGCTTCTGTTATCCGCTTAAACTGAAGGCTGGAGGAGAAAGGGGTGAAGTACCAATTGACGGCGTCCAATCATGTCATTTAACAGCTCCTGTCGCTGTCACTCCTCGGGACGGAATGACATGCAAATTATATAAAGATGTTTTACAGGAACTGTTGTAAAAGTGGAAGAACGAATCAGCCTTCGCTTCCGTAGCGGTAGTAACTAAAATTCCTCCTTTTGCAAAGCCACTGTACTAATCATAAATTGAAAACTTCAAAGATGGCAGAATCAATTTGACGGATGCAGAGCACTTCGGATGTTCAGCTGGCCCCATCTGCGACCAACAGATGAAGTAGGAAAACTCAAAAAAGGACTTAAAAAGTCCCCAAAAGAGTTTAGCGTTGGTTATGAACCCCCTTGCCACTTTGATTCATAACAGCCTCAAGTTTGGCTAGGGGCATATGTCCAAGAGGCCACAGATGTTTGTTCGCGTTCTTCGCCTATATGCTAACAAAATTGCAAACAAATGTCATTTTAGTGCAGTTTCTTTAAAAAAAAAGAATAGTCATTAACCGCAGGGTTCCTATTTTAAAGAAACAAGTGGATTCACGCATAGATGTCATTAGCAGAATCAATCTCTTCACTTTTTGATTCGGCAGCCCTTCGTCTAAAACTTTTCAACCACATACAGTGGAAATAAATGAACAAAGTAAGGGATGAAGATGCAACAAAGATCGAGTGGGAATGTGTTTAGCCTTTTTCCAAGCACAGTGGACGAATGAAAAGAGATGCACAGAAGACAAAAAATCGTTAGAGCCTGAATAAGGAGGTAGAAATAGAGAAGTAGTAATTTCACCTGAATGCCAAGAGACAGGAAGAGGAACGCGCCCATGAGGTAGAGGTAGGGTGGGTAGGTGAGGACTTTTCGCACCGCGGTGAAGATACCCACTGGTGTCGTCGCATTACCACCATCCCCGTCACCCGCCCCAACATCGTCGGCAGTTGTGTCGGCAAGGTTGATGCCCGTTTCACGGGTGCCGAAGAAGCAGATGAGCGACGCCACCGTACATATGACGCAGGTCACTGAGGCAGCAAGCATATAGGCCCATGCCTAAAAAAAGTAGAAATAGATAATGATGGAGGTGTAAAAGATCTCCTCCTATAGATGAATCTGTGCGTTAGTGGGTTCAAATGTCAGACTAGAGGAATCTAGCTGATATTCCAGCTTGTTCTAAATTTTTCGAATGGTGGCTCTTGATAATTCTTAATCCAGATTCCAGCTTATCATTGTTAAGTACCTTGATCCCAGCTGAAATTTTCCGTGCGACGAGTAGGTCATTTTTTGATCAAGATATATTGAAGCTGTCAGCCAGAAAGGAGCTTCTCATCCAAGCCATCGTCAAACGTACCGCGATGTGAATGTGTCCGCGCGCCTTGCACAAATTAGTCCCACCAAACACTTCACTTACTCGGCCACTGATGTTCCGAAATGTTGTTCACGTTGTGCTGTTGGTGAGTGTTCCAAGCAGAAGTGAAATCTAATTTCACAATGTACCAAAAGCCTCATATAATCCACTTTTGAAATGGAAATGTTGGTCAGGAAGATGACACTCATAAATGGAGACATGTAACATTAGATGCGAAGAAAACGATAAAGCCGCAAAACAGCTGCAATTACTTCAAGGAACAAAGCGAAATTTCACGGAGAGGATACTTATAATCTCACCGCAGTGCAGATTAACAGAATCACACAGCTAATAATTGATTAATAGCTATGAAACCGATACCGTTGGAGGGACGAGTTAGTTTGAAAGATTTCCACCCTTCATTAACTAGGAAGAGCAATACATACCTTTTTAAGGAAAAAAAGATGTCATCAGCATCTCCATCATTGTCGACATGCTCCCTTTCTTAAAGGGCGCCAAAGCTGTCAACAAGTTTGTCACCCCAGTCTTAGAAGAAAACCAATCACTATGGTGATGAAAATGTTTGCAATTAAAGAAGGTGTTCCCATTTCGAGGCTCTGTAGATATGCACTATGGAAATTGCAATTTCCTTCCGTGCCTCGTTACCAACACTCTAGAAACGTTTATATACTTTGGCAAGGGCTGGACTTCCGTGAAAACCAGGGAAATACACTCACTGTGGTCCAGGTGTCTGCTGTAAGGCCTTTACCGTCCCGGTTCTTCCGGCTGGGGATAGAGACCAGAGGGTGACAAGTATTGACCTCCGTGTCCACAGTCACAAATAAGTAGTTCATAAAACAGTCGAAATGTGTATTTGTTTCAACAAACGTATACTATTCAAAGCCTAGAAAAGCATGCTATTATCATCCGATCTGAGGCATCACGCCACATCTGTTTTACGTTCTAAAATTCAAAAAATCCGTTTGCTATACACGATTTCATGCGATCAGTTAGCATGAAAGAAAGTACGACTGTCACGTACTTGTGCTGTTGGCAGAGAACGTGTTAACACGATTGAACAGAACCCAAAATAGTGACTATCAGAATGTTTTACTTTTAACAGCCTCAAGGTCTTCGATATTAATAATTATGAGTTTAATTAGTCTGATGGAAGCACACATCTTCAAAGGTGACAAGACTTGACGCATCATCCACAACGCTATTCAACGAGGCGAAACCGCCGATTTGAAGGGACGCTAGTGGCAGACTTCCTAACAAGAAAGGCAAACAAGGAACTTTTATGTTGAATTTAATCAACTGACATGGTAATTTACTAAGTCAGAAAAGACCCTAATCATGGAATATGTTAAAAATGTTTTTGTTAACCACCGTTATTCTGAATGCCTCCCAAAGAAACAGGAGAGGAGAATATCACCATTGCGGAGTAGGAGTGGAGGCAGAGATTCCTTGATCAATGACGCGTCAAATGTTGAAAGGGTATGTACTAACTAAAAAAATGTAGTAGATGGTCTTCGAACCATCAGGAGTTCTCTATCAAACATGGGGAAAAAACACAACCTAACAGTAAGCAACTAATAACCCTCTGTGCTCAACTGCTCTTCAACTTGATAGCAGTCTGAAAGTAGTTAGGACAACACCAAAATCCCCCAAACGTTAGGAAATCCAAAAGACGACGCAGTTCCGCCTATTCCTCGTTTTTAAATATGCAGCGACCATGAGGATACTTGTCTCCACCATTCAGCCGCGAACACCACGAGCGAATTTCTTGTGATTTTAAATTCAACAGTAAAAATGAGTATCCATGAAAGTCTGTCAAAATAAAGCTGAGACCTGCGGTACAATGGTTAAAAAACTATGCCACCGTGGCGGAACCACATGCAGTAGTAAGTTGCAACAGTATCCAGCTAGGCTTACTATCAGTCCACGCACAACACTGTTGGGCAGAATGACAGGCAACAGTGGTACTTTATGCACGTAACAGCGTCTCCTGAGAGAGAGCGAACGAATCTGTGCATACAAGACCACCATCACAACAATAAAACAACACCGGACGGGTGCCGCTGTTTCAAAAACTGCCAGCCGTTCGTTATCCAGCGATACACTCCGTCGTCGTGGTGCCCAGTCCAAGGTCCACAGCCACGACAATCAACAGCGAGAGACCTGCCTTCTCCTCCAAACCTTACTGACTCAGCGAAAAACTGTGAAGACACCAAACTACACATGAGATAAATCGTTCTGTGGGAATGGTAAACACCAGGCAATCATTTGCATCCGTGTAAAATTTTTAAAAACTGGCCTGCGATACCCATCGGCGACGATGACGAAGTAAAACAGGCCACTCTGAGCTAGTTTGTTTCAACTGACAAAACTTCCCATGCGGAAGGAGCTTTCCAAAAGGTTAGTTAATCAATGTGATATTTGTATGTACAACTGTGGCAGGAAAGCTATCAAGAAAATAAATGCGACTACCAATAAATAAAAATTCTGCATTCCCATCTTGCAAACGAAGCGCGAGTCCAGATGGACGGGCCATGTGGTAGAGTTATATGCTTATTTACCGATGACTAAAGTCCAATGCGGCAAGGTCTCCACGCTGATTTTCTACGCCAGTTTTAAACTCCTACCATTAGTCCGTGCCTTCGATCTTTCTTACAAAACATAATAATAACGGAGGTACCAGGTTGATGATATTCCTCTGCAAGATGTGGAAGATCCCCACAAGGGTAACCGACTTCCCCCTCTGCAGGTGAGACGCGAATTTTCAACATGAGGTTATAGAAATCAAGGCGAAAAAGTCTGGAAACAGTGCGAAAAATGGCAATTATTACTTAGAAGGATAAACAAAAACTTCTATGCCACAACATGTGATTGTGATCTGAATTAAAATTCGATCGCAATGAAATGCATGAGCACATACACAAGCACACTTCCCTAGATTATGCACGGAAATGTAAACTTTGTACTAGATTCATTAAGCCAAGTCAGACTATTCGCACACCTATCTCATCAACTCGTGGATCTCCTTTACCACCATCAGATAATAAGGCAATCTTGATCCATCAACCAAAGGCGAATGGATAACCAAGGAGACAACTTTGTTGTTTGTCCAACTTTATTGAGGTATTTTAAAAATATCCCATTGATCAAAACCCTTCAAAGGCTAAATAAGGGCCGATACCGTCACTGCGGCACATTGCACTTGAATTACAACCTCGCCTAACCCAAGAGAGTTGCATGAGAACGAGTTTAAGAAAACCTGGTCAATATTAGCAACCACCAATAGCCCTGAAGCTGAATTGGGGAAACCAGTGGTGTGCCTTTATAACTTGAACAAAAGGATCTAAAACGATCTAAACCATATGCTTTTCACGTGATTTAGTGTAGTGAAACTACTAAGATAGTTTTACCTACAAATGAGAGGAATTGAACGATATTAGCAATTGCCACCGATACTGCAGCTCACCTCACGTCGCTTGGCATCAGGGTGGACAAAAGGTTGAGAAATAGCTGTAACTTCGGTGAAGTTGGCAACGGTGGTGCCATTGGTGAAGAGTGAATTCTCACAACTTGAAACAACGCGGTAGGGCGCGATGATGGCACCGAAGACGGCCACTCCGAAGAGAATAGCCAACACTTCCGAGAACATGCCTAATCAAAGTTAGCGAATGTCCGGAATTAGGCCGATAAGTAAAGATATCTGGTGCCTTTCATTGTTTGATGACATGAATAAGTGTTAATGTGATTTAGTCGATTCATCACCATCGTATAATCCATGGAGAAAAAAAGCAAATTGTCTAGTTAGAGTAATGCTGCTGAAGTGAAGAAATAAGTAGCGTGCCCTGTGTCAGAGAGACAATAAAGCTTGGTGTTCTTACTTCAGAGATTGGCAAATAACATTCGTAATGACAGTTCATCTTGTGTAGGAAGAAAACAAATAAAGCACATCCTTACCAAGCCCGAATATAGCTTCACTGAATCCCGACGAACACATTTTTTGAAAGGAGCTCGAAATCCGAAAATTACTACTTTTACTCTTGAGTGGGCTAGTGCCGACACTATCATGCGATGAGGATTCGCATCCCTAATCCATTAGCAAAACGATGGCAGAAGTTGATTAACGGTCAGGCCAATGCAAACTACTGGCTGGAGGTGGAGTTGCGGTATCTTTTATCAGTTCAGTTGTATGATATCGGAGTAAATTTAATTTGACAAAAAACTAGACCAAACAATTTCAATAATCCTAGGACAGTACTCAACCAATCTAGAAACAAGTAAATTAACACAGAAATGAGGTAAGGCGGCCATGTCACAGCTGCATTGGCGGTCGGTCAGACACAGCGACATGGCGTGATTTCGAAGGTGATGGTGAAACATCGCTGATAAACCAATTGCCAAGCCAACGCGACATAAAGCGTCGTGCATTAAGACTAGTTGTACTGGAAGGGTGCCTGATGCACAAATGCACAAAAGTAACTGTTCAACGCATGAGAATCCCTCACAGCTCCGTCACTATCGCACTGTTTTACTAGGCGTGGCTGTACATGACCGGCGCCGCAGCGACCCGCGCCAAATCCGGGGTGGTAACACTAATCCGCTCCGTTGGTGCCGGCAACGTGAACATCAACCTCACCTTTGCCGATTGTATCCGCTGTCATCAATCTGATCATAGGCGGATCTACAGCCGGGGTAATAGGGAAAGTTATCAAACCTGAATTAGTCCTGCGAAAATTCCCGTAGTTTGTTTAAAACTGCAAACAGCTTTTATTATTTTTTGAGGAAAACCCGGTTTTAGCCAACAGTTAAGTGGTGTTTCAGGACGCTCATTTGGAATACCCACCTACTTTAATAGGTAATTATAAAATTGTCCCGGAACGACGTCGTGGAGACACAAAGCAGCCAGAGAAGAATCAGGAAAGTTGAAGTGTACATTTTGGTTAACGGTAGCCCAATGTTTAGTAAGATATGTAAAACCAGTCAGCTTCGTCATTATTATTGCAATGATGAGATCACGAAGAATTTTAAAACTACACGAAACCCGGGGAAACAGGGAAGGTTGGTTGTTCAGCAAATTTCATTGAACTGTTCCACGAGCTAGCCAAAGAAACTGAAACGACAAAATTGTATTAATTTCAACCGACCTTTCAATGGTAGGAAAGACGAAGTTCATCGATGTTAGACTGCTGATCAGATTCAGCCGATTTCACAGAACCTCGAGGTACACGAAATCTCACCTCAACTAAAATTTAGGCAACTTAAAGAAAAAACCGCAATACGACTGCTAATGGGCTAAGGTTTTCAACATTGCAACTATGATTCCACTCACAAACAAAATCAATGATGAAATGGATTTATTTCAAAGTATCTTCGAAGAATCTAAAGCATGAAATACAATAGAGATAGTCCATCTACTTATTTGATCGTCAAATATGTACGATTTTTAGTTCCAGACATAGTAGAGCTCAAAAGTAGATTTTTCTGTAAGTCGGTTAATATGTTAACACCCAAAACTGATCTACGTGAGATGACCTAGTACCGGGTTTTTCACCTGCATAATCACCATGTCACAAACACGATATTTGGATCAAATTCTTCTGAAAATTCGGCCACATCGTCCATTCTGGCTAATAAATTAGCTGTCAAAACCGAAAGACTGGAATACGATCTAGCAATCGGACACAGAAGAGAATAGGAATGCACCAAAAGGCAACGGCTTATCCTCACGAGCGGAAAGGAGAAGGTATGACAATGGGTGCGCCGTTTCAGAGGATACAAATCATGAAGGTAACTTTTCCATCACTCCAAGTCTAAAACAAGGGAAATTTGAGCGGGTACGCAGTAGTCTTACGGTCTGACCCTAGAGAGTAGGGTTTGTACGCACGCGCGTTGCGTGGAAGGGCATGGGCACTCGGCCACGCGCAACAATCACGCAAACATCGCCTCATTCCCACTCGCCCACGCATTCTATTGGTCCTGTCAGGGTCGCGGACACGCCACCACTGCCATGGTAAAGTCAAGCAAGCCTTTCTGGCAACGTGAAGTATAAAATTAGCACTCCCATTTTAGTGGTAAACACGAATCGTGCCATGTGGCCAGTACTAAGTAGGCAATCTACCATTAAGAAAATGTGATTTACAGATTTTCTACAGTAATAAAATCGCAAGTTAAGTGTGATTGTAGGTACATCTAGAAATCGAAAGGAGACTAATCCACTTCATCATGCGAAAAGGCAATAAGAATTAAGGGAACTACTGGAAGTATACTGAGAAGATATTTTGCTAGTAGTTCAAACTGTCCCTAACGCACGGTAATTTTTGACTCAATGTTGGGTCTAAGAGGACACTCGACCGCTACAGTCCAAGTGTTTTACTGGTCGAAGGTGACCCTAGCACCAGCACTATCGTACTGGGCAGTCAGTGTTGCTCAAAAGCTGAAGAAGCGCAGTTGGCGTTAAGCACAGAAGAGCTGAAATTCCCCTAAGCTGATAAAGAACACGTTATATGCCCGTGACGCCGATCTTAGGTAGGAAAATCGGGAAGTTGCACATATGTGAGGCAGGTAACTAGCCTGCTAAATACGCCAATTTACGTAAATTTGTAACGCAGGTATCGGAAATCGCCCAGTGACAAAAAGCGCCCCACGAAAAACATGAGGCCATTTACGCCAAACTTAAACGCCTCCATAGTGCACTAAGTGAAGAGTAGGAGGAAGTAGTACTAAGACGATATTTTCAGAAAATTTAACTATCAGTTCATAAGAAAGTAAAATATTTTGCAACTAAAAAGTTTACACCAAAAATGGACCAGATCAAAAGAAAATAAGTATTCGTTACTACGGAAGGATAAAAGAGTACACTCAGACCACACCCAGACGTCGCCCCGAGAAACGCGTTGATAATAAAATCAGGGTGAAGGCGATCGCATGGGAGCAAAATAGCTCCAGTTGACGAAGCTGAGCAGTATATAAATATAACACACAAATGCATAAATATTTAGCATAGTACCATAACAATGAGAAAGATATCTACTTACGAAACGCGGTTAAGAGATCCCTTTCCTCGGGAACATGGGTAAGCACCATTGTTAGAGAGCTATAGGGGATGTGGAAAGCCTAGAAGTGGAAAATAAGCAACCAGGTTAATATCCTGAAAACGCTACTAGGTAAAAAGAACGTTTAAAATTACTGCAGAGGTGTCATCAACTAGAGCTAAACATACAGACCACCTAGCAACGCACCGTAAGTCCAAATTGAAGTACAACGATGGCGACTAGATAAAAGCAAAGCTTTGCTGGGGCAGGCCAGTGTACTGCGTAAAATAATGCGAAGAAGGAGGCCACGAATACTGGTGTTGAAAACAGGATCCTAGAAAGGTTAATGTGTCACCAATAACAACTCTTAAGACACCTTATAAGTTAAAAATGTAGTTTGTCATATTTACCATGGCCGCTTTTGTCCGAATCTACTTTTCGTTTTTAATACAAGTAAACCCACCAGAGGATCGGTGACAGCATCGGAAATCCGGGCAGCCAAAAGTACTACCGATAGAAAAGACGGAATAAGGTTGACTGTCTCCAAAAGAAATAGTGGAAGGAAAAATGAGATAACATTTTGCATCATTTGCATTGGAAGACCTCCAGAAGCGAATGCCAATTTTCGCCAAAGTGGCATAGGTTTACTTATAGTAGGTTCTCCATCCGATGAGCAAAGAACCGATGTATTCGACGCTGTTACTTCCACTTTAGGTGGATTTGAGTCGAGTTTGGCTGAAGATTCCGACATCAACGCGCACAATTACGGGCTAAACCAAACCTGCCCGACAAGAGACAAACATCAAAACCCCTCGGCAATAAGTGCCAGGTACTTGTGATACGTATAAACAAACTGATTCATTTTTAAATCAAAGAGCCCTTTGACGTCGACATAATTTTATTCTAAGGCATCGAAAGCAAGTTTATTTAAGAGTCCGTTTTTAAGAGACCTGCATGTCATGTCGGCTCTAGAACCGTATTCTTGATTGCAGTTCTTACCCGATTTACTGCAACTCAATTTGCAACCCCCATAGAAGAGCCTTAAAAGGTGGCAGTTTTATGACATTATTGTTTTATGGTCATGAGCACAGTTTTTTAACTCAAAAACAGCAAAAGTCGACTGCACTTGTAAATAAAACGCGTAAAGTTATGAATTGGTATAGAATTAAATTTGGTGGTTCTAGCAGCATGAGAATTTGCATGATATGGAGTGCTATTAGACAATTAACGACTCAAGCATATTAAAAGGGTGCAAATTCCGTATTTAGAATAACACTTAAGAATGTAATGCATTAGAGCTCCTCGAGAGAGTGCTGAGAACGAAGGAAAGCACATTGCTTGGACGTAACATATATTCGACATAAAGTAGTGTTTAAACTATTGGCATGGGGCAGATACCCAGCAAAGGTTATATGGCGGTGAACCGAAGTGATCGCATTACCAAAACCGAATGTTAAACAAACAACCATAGCATTATATGGCACTGCTTTTCTTTTGGGCATCGTCCCCGGCGTTCTTTTTGGTCAATCACAATGTAATTAGTGCTGTAATGAGAAACCCACTGGCCAACTCTCCCTTTATCGAATTCCCACGCATATGAGAAGAAATCTGACCACAAAGTCACTGATCCCTCTTGGCAATTCTACCAAACCTGAGGTTTTGTCCCCTATGGTGATTATATTGGGGAAGTGTAGAAATGAGCCCGGCAACACTCAGGTTCAGAGCTAGTCGTTGATACACTGATCCAAATGCATGGTTACATAACAAAGGATGAGGTCCGACATGGTTTCTTGGGGACATAGTTTAGCTTATATCCGTCCTTGACACTTTTCTCACCTTAATGCAATCCAATCGTATCTATCTGGGGTCTATCCAAATAGTAGGGAAGTGAAGGATGGATCGCAAGTTCACTGCCTTGACACCTTCGGACAGTTGCTGTAGACAGCTCCAAAGCGAACCTTTTTAGATGGCTAACGGATAGTGTCACTTTACTTGTTGTTGGCTCTCCTACAAACCATCGGAATTGAGTAGCTGCTGCAAGCAGACATCAACTTTGGCCCTTCCGTTATCGGTCGTCACGTATTCTCCTATTCGCAGCATATTCACTACTTTAGCTCCACTAAGGTTGCGCGTCCAGCAGCGGAAAATAGAACCGAGTTCCCCTTCTACCGGTACCATTGTAGCAATCCGATACTTCTCCAAAGCCGAAAAAAGGCCCCATGCTCGGATAGAACGTACCGTCGACACAGAATGTATTAAGCTACTGGCATGGCCCAGCGATCCTAAGCGACCCCGTTACCGAAACTGACAGTTGAACAAACAACCAGAAAAATACAACTCGCTATTTTATAACATTCGACAAGGTCGACCGTGTCCCGAGCCGTCCCCAAAGCTACAATACAGTACTTTTGTCCAAAAGGGGTTATGGTGGACGTACATAGGATGTGGGACGCTGCAAACTACCAGAAGGCCATCTCGCAAAAACGGAATGGCAAACAACGGACATCGGAGAGCTTGTGCGGTCGAATACGCATGCTAATAGGAACCCCTCCATCAAATTAGAACCAACTACATCGACCTCACTTATCCCTGGCTTTGTTGAATTCAGTTATATCATTTCCGGGAGGCTAACACGTAGCACCCTCCACCATTCCATCCTGAAATTATCCTCACACATACGGTTGTATTTCGGTATTTTTACCCACAAAAAAGCATTCAAGCACACTTCGACTAAGATTTTATGGTCCCAAATACTCATCAATTCACGTAAGCCTTAATTCCACCTTCTGAACTGCCCGAGAGCTTATCGGTTCCCACGGTTAAATACCAACATAAATGTCATTCATTCTGTCATAAACAAAAAACGTAATCCTCCGACCGAACAGCAAGCATGTTTATCCGTAAGGTGAATTCATTCAAACAAATTTCAATAAAAAGAATCTCACTTATGTATGATTGAGATTCAAAAAACTAAAGAGAAAGGCGCTCATCACCTCCTGTCAATGCTTTGGGCCGCAGACCGGGCTACTGTCCGCCTTATAGGAGCGAAGGTAGGCTGGCATGGAGTTATCGATGACACGCTGAGTGCGCTTCATCGACCGGTTTGCCATGGAGTATTGGGGCAGGTTCGACAGACGCGGGTAGGGGTTCTTGTAGTGCTCCGCTAATTCCACTCGCGACACACCCTCCAGAATATGCGCCTTTGAAAGGAACAATACACCTACTAGTGGTGTTGACGGTAATGTTTATTTACCGAATGCCTTTCTGAATCCTCACCTCAATCTCCTGGGGATCAGAAAGATGGACGTTCTTGCGAAAGAGAGATCGCGCCTCCTGTCGAATATATGCACTTTCCTTGGTGGTCTGACTCGCCTCATGGGTGGCTGAGATCCAGGTCTTGGATAATCGCATGATACGTCGGTAAAGATCGAGCACGCGCGCCCTCTGTTGGCTTGAGGTCATCGCGAAGCTCTCCGCCACCTTCATCGATGCCATATACTACAATATGGTAAACTCTTTTTCAAGAGGAGAGAAAATGATGCAGCCATTTATTAAGGTGGAAAAAGAGGAGGCCGTGTGAAAAAGCTTGGAAATGAAGAGATTATGGTTCACATCAGCAATCGCCACGCCATTATCATTAATGGAAAGGAGCAGGGAGGAAGAATTCATGAAAGGCCCAAGTAGGATGAGAAACCCACCAAAAAGTGTAGTACCGCCACATGGCGCCGACTAAAGCGAAGTATGAGTCTATTAGGGCAAAAAATTTTTTTCAGACAACACGCATCATTACGTCCAAACAATAACGACAGGCTCAATTGCTTGGTGTCTAGACCAAAACCTCATTTTCTACCTTGCAATGGAGCTACTAGAACTAAAAATGGCCATTAACAACAGTTGTTAATGCGAGAAAGAAGTGTTTAAAAGGATCAACTTTTTAGAATCGTGAGAGAACAGTAGCACCAACTTGCAGAGAGAGGTAGCGAGACTACCTGCCGCCGAACGACCGGAGTGGCGCAGGAAGCAGATGAGTGAACAAAGGAGGAGAGTGAATTTGGCAGTCTGGGGGACGGAATCGGGTGAATCACCAGAGATGTTGCGAAACAGGGATGCTAACTTCCCGCCTCTCACACACACACAAGAAGGGTAAGCGATCTTGCCGTGTCTCACCTTTTAAAAAAGGACACTGCGGGTGCGCGTGTGACGGCGTCGCGTAAACACGATATCAATCTCCGTTGTGGCAGCCATGTTGGACCCTCTTTCTACCTAGCACGACATAAGGCCTTCAGTGGATAGCTCGGTCCTGCACTGGTGCACTACGTCCGACGCCTCTCATGAAAGACAGGAATATTCCAATTGATGCTAGACAAAGGACTCGGATCTACGTCGAGAAATTGATTACTAACAACGTTTCTGGTACAGACGGATAAATCGGAAGAGACAACAAAGGAACGATTGAAAAACGTCGATGTTTGAGAATTGCCTCAACCTCAGAAGAAAGTGGAACCATGAGCCGAGCAGCTCAGACCAGAGAACGTGGCGCCATCCGCGTCATTGAGATCTGACATCAAGACGAACTTTTAAAGAACTTCAGTTTCTGCCTTCAAGCAATGCTTCTGAAGAAAAGATCGTTGAAGCAACTAGCCAGTAGGAGATGAGATCGACAAACGCCCTAGAAATCTACGAGGTACACCACTACGGATAAATTGCGAAGCCCCCGTCTGGAACTGGAAGGCATTCCATGATCGTTGGGTCAATCGGCTGTGGATAATCACTGTGACGCTGAAGACACAGGTCAAAGAGAAGATAAGTACGCAGGACAATTATACTTCGATTTCAGTCTCCTGCAATTTCGACTTCACGACGGTAGCACTGAGCGTGGCTTAAACCAACCCTAGCCTCGTAGCTCCTCTGTGGGTCTATAATAACTCCACGGGAAGGCTTTTCCTGTAGCGGTATCTGTCATGCAAGCACGTATCACGGATATCACATGCCTTGTCACCCAATCAGAGGTGCGAGACAGCGGTGACTCCATTCGTCCCGGAATTAGGTTTCCGACATTGCTGTTTACCACCACCATCAATGCCTCAGTTACACTCGGCAGGATGCTCTGACAGAATGGCATTTAAGTCGATCGTTTAATTAAACGGACTCTTCGCTCTCCAACGGGTTTTAACCAGTGTCTCAGTGGTACGGCCTCCTTTTCATGGCAAAACACAACCCTTCTGTGCACGTATTGAGTGGTAAAGGTCTCGAAGCAAATAATCACGCAACATCTTCATGGAGGACTCGAGTACTACAAGACAGTGAAGACATAAATCAACCGACGAGTCGCCATAGCAGCTATCACATCAGATCCGGTGCCCCCTTTTTGGGGGCACGACTTGCCTCTTGCTCTCTGTGTGAATCATCGCGGGTTTCGGGCGGACACTTTCCGTGTGCGCATGCGGGTACGCGATGCGATCCGGGCCACCGATTAGTCGCATCATAATCATCATCCTCATCATGAAGATGTCGGTGATGCAAAAAACCACAAGACCCCAATCACATAAAGCCAGTTCATCTGGGAAGCTTGGACTGAAAGATTTTTGGTGCCAGAAAGCGTAGTTTGTTTGCCTACTCAATAAGTACATTTGGAGCTGGAAGAGTCCAACTATGGAATAACGTCGAGAGAATGGACTAGAACGGAAAATTTCATCGCACCAGTAGGATAGTTCAGGCAGATCAGTGATAATCGTTTACGGCCTCTTTAGATCGGAAACGGCGTCACGCCTTCAAGCTGTGATCATGGCACAATCCGCGCGACACAAAAATCCACAAATACACAAACACGGGTGTACACACATGAACGCGAACTACACATACGTGTGTACCACATACCCACCAGGGAGAGCTACAAACCGCCGTGTCTGTCAGAACAAGGAGAGCAAGTCGCTGGATTTGGAAAATCATAGCAACGCCTAGGGAGGTTCATAAAGTATTCCAAGGAAGTTCCGTCAACCCCGAGGGCCTAAGTTTATGATCGACCCGCATATCTGGAGGCCATTAGATGATCTGTTGCGTAGAAGGGAGGCAATAAAGTGATGGCTTACTGATCAGGTTGGCTGAATGACCCGGAATGGGAAGGGTGGGGGTAGAAATCCCTCGTTTCGAGACCATCGAAAGGAAAGGGGATCAGGAGAGTGGAAGAATCTACGTCGTTTAAAATGGACAATGAGAAAAAAAATGCTTTTAACCATGAAGGCAAACAGTGCAGACATTAACTTAGACCTAGCTAAGTGTACAAGTTAACTTGTAACCGTAAACTTGACACTTGACAACCCACCAATAGTTTGCATAGCCACTGCCAGTGTTAAATGGGTGCAATACCCTAGACTTATTTACCTAAAAGTGTGGCGTGACGTTTTTCACCTGTTTACATGAAAGTGATTATATCCCATCGTTTTGCAATCAAAACAAACAACTAGATGCCGGAATTCCAACAGCCGGGGACAAAGACACTTCTTGATCTCTGAACAGCAGTTGCGTTTGTCGACACGACAACAGGCAAGTGACAGCAAGTTACAACAATAAAACAGCGGTGTAGCAGTAGACGACTTTTACCTGAGACCTTGGTAAAGAGGGTGACAAGACGAACCACCTTTAACCCAACCACTGAAGGCAAGTTGTGGAACCACCGTCCTTATGCCAAGCAGACTTTGGGTTAACCATCGGCTACTAAATATCTCAGAACGGCTCCTCAAGTTAACTTTACACAAAGCGACTGCTTTTTACTCCACTATGGAGTAGTCTTGATTCATTTTTGGTTGTAGCTTTAGTTGGGCAGATTCCCCGCCTCCACGCATCATTTCTCAACTTCAGGGGGAGGTTTGACCTCTCACCTAGTAGATGACGCATCTGTAGTCAAGATGATTAAAATCGCCTGACAAAAGAAGGCCAATTCATCACATAGGCTATGCATTAATTAACAAACCGTTTCACCATATCACAAAACATCTCCATTGGCGGTAGAATGGATCCCATATTAAAAAAATGATAAAACAGGAGTCAGGAATATCAAAGGCTCAACAAAAAACCCTTTGAAAGTAATACCGAACAGGGAACTAAAAATAATAAACCAAAAGGTTTTTAATACTGTTAATAGACCGAAAGAGTAGTATAGCTTCAAATCCACCGTTCAAGCCTATCTACAATTTCATATGCAGTGATGGAATATATACAGATGTTAGAGGCCCTACATGAACGCGTTGGATACTGTTAAAATGCCTGGAAGATAAGCATCAACAACAAGCCGAGAGAAGAGTAGTATCAGTTGTTACTCCTTATTATTGCAAGAATCAGTTAATAATAGCACCGTTAACATCAGCTGTATGTACAAAACAGAAAAGATAGGCACAATAAACATCGACGCGGAAGAAGTGAGGAGACAGTCAGAGGTACAGGTGCATCTCTTCCTTTCTCCCTCTCCCCGTCTCTATCTAGACCTCAGGACTAGTTGAGGATGAGGTAAGACCATTCGGTTGGGATGCGACACTCGGCAGACCAGGAGTAGCCGCGACTGCGGAGGAGTTTGTGGAGGAGGAGGAGCCGGACAAGCAGGGAACTGAGGCGCCCCGGTGTGGTGTCTTTGAGCGGCGATTTAGACCGCTCGCCGCTGCCACCATCCCGAAGCGGTTAGTGATGAGCTGAAGTGAGGTCACCCATTTCTCGTACTCCTCTGAGTTGATCGCTGCCATTCGGTAGGTGGTGTGGTAGTCTAGGCAATGGGAAGTAATGCAAACAATCAGTAAAGGTCCGGCGTTCACCAGTCTCTTCTAGCTGGAACATGTCAACCGCTAGTATCTCCGTTGGAAAGGTAACTATATTGACCTTTCAATAGAAGATCCAAAAATTCGGATTCCAATTAGGTGGTCTAAGAGTACTACATGAGAACTTCTGTACCCGTCTGCTAGTTTAATCCCCTCTGCTTCGTTTCCCTTTGCGTCATCCAAGTCTCTCCAAGACGACCACTCATTCCAGCCTCACTCAAAACAGATAGGTGAGAGTGAATGTCTTATTGTGCGGATACTGAAATAGTAACTATGTTGAAGAAAGTAAGGCAATGAAGAGAGGGGGAAGACCTCAAGATTCGAAAAAGAAGATACCAAACCGTTAAACAGCAAAAACAAGCCGCCGGTGTTACGGCTTTCAGCCCAGTTGTACAGGGCACAATTAAGCCTCTCCATGCATTTAATCTTTCCGCCCTTCTGCAAATCCATAAAACGCGCAAACTCTGGACGCCATAACGATTACAAGCACGGTCTTCAAACGTTCTACTATTTTGGACAATCACACCAAGCCAATGAAATGCTACATAGCAGTGATAGGGAATAGGACACTCACCAGTGGTGATGATCCCCTCCCTATCAGCTTTACGTGTATTGATTGTGCCGCCTCCGCCGCCCAGACTGCCGTTGCTGCCGGCGCTCCCGACAGCGCCACTACTATTGCTGCTGGGGCAAGGACGAGGAAAGAGTTCAAAACAGAACTCCCTTGAACGGTCATTGTTGACGCGTCGGATGCAGACATTTTCCAGTGCTACGATACCCTTTCGCTGAGTGATTCGCTGAAAGCGACACAAACGCAAATACAGTCACAAAGCATTTTCATGGATGAAATTGGGATAAATGGGAAGGAAAAGGTGAAACTAACGTCAGGAGCATTGTAGTAGAAGAGGTACTCCTCCGTCAGGACAAACCAGCGACGCTTCCAAATTTTCACGCGTCCACCTGTGGGGAGAAAATGGATGTAGGAAATAAACGTGACGGTAGGATATGGAAGTGAAACAAGGAAGAAAATGAGGTAATTAAGGCTTGGCGGGTTTCAAATTCTATGGAAAAAAAACAAGTAAATATTGACAATTAACGTCACACATTTAAGTAGAAATGGGAAAATAAACGCTTGGTCATTGAGAAAAGAACGGATAAGTCGTAAAGCCGCAGTTTCCGAAGGCAAAAGCTTCTACGCTGAATTTACTGAATGGTAAAAAGAGGACAGAATCCCTGGGTTAAATGCCCAGTTGTGCCAATGCATAAAAATGACTCTGAATGGAACCAGTTGAGTGAAACAAACACATCTTGATCCGATTCAGATTGATGCACTATCTCAAGTGACCAATGTTGGCAGTAAAACCTGAGGGAAATCAGTAATATGGCAGCGAATGAGGAAAGTTCTTGATACAAGCATTAGCGTAAAAACAAGGAGAAACTGATGGAAGAAGTACAGAATGGACAAGAAGTTACAGGAGATTTACTGTTGAAAGGAGATACGAAATGATATCCGATTTCCAATAAATCAACGTTTTTCTTAGCCACTTCAATCAGGAAGCTGCAAGTGATACAGAATATCAGGAACGAAGACCTGCTTAGAACGGAATAAAGTGAAATCCCAGCAAACTACACGTCCTCACAGCTTCCTATGAAGGAGGGGTGGATGTTTGTCGCTTCACAGTTGATAGCGTCTACCTCCAAATGTGGTGCAACCACCACTCACGGGAGAATGGACACTTCGCGCTTGAGAAACCCCACTTCTGTCCACTTGCCCCTCTCTTGTGGGATCAAATTGTGCGGAGTGAGTCATTTACTTGAGAGATTTCAGTGCGGTCATTAGGTCCTACTTCATCCTACGCCACTGAAATTCACATACAAACCCACATCATCAAGGTTTTAAATTTTTAATCAGGCCTTAAAATCGTGTCCCTCAGACCACACGGAAATTCACGCTGCACTTTACGCAAAGCTAGTAAAGACAAAGGTTGAGACACTTTTTATTCGGTCGGCATAAACCTATTTCCTTCTGGACTATGCAAACCTATTTCTGGTGGTGCTCCGCAGCTTTCCTGATGATGAAAAGTCTTGACATTAGTAGAAACCACACTCTGGTTTTCAAACCGTAGAACAACAATTTTCTCAAATTTTCCTCAAAACTAAATCTCCACGCAGTCCACTGTAGCATGAGAGAAGTGTAGGGAACAAACGACTAGGCGCTCATGTCTCCCACTTTGAAGGTGCTTAAATACTCGTCCAAAAATAATTTACTTGATTAAATGAATTAAGGCATGCTGAACCATCGGTCAAATCTGGTTTCCTCCTAAATGTAGTTACTCTGTTTCTGCAAGGGGACATTCCAAGGTCTTTACCCCATTCCTCTTAACCGTAGTTCCAACCGGCTGGACGCCTGAAGTGCCTCCACCACACCAGTACAACGATTTTAGGACCTGCATTCCACTCACAAGTTTTTTAGATGAAAAAGGAGCATTGTATCCACGTTAAGCACGCATACCGGCGAAGACGAACTTACGTTACGTACAACTAAGGATGTTCCTCTGTCACCAGATGCTTTAGGATATGGCGCCCCTTTTGGAAGGAGCAACCTTGCTTATAGTTTAATGCCAGACACTCGTCCGCTCCCATCCTAAGTGGATCAGATCACCTCATGAACGTTATGTAGCACCGGATGCTGGATTGACGAGCAGAAGCCGTTTGCAATGGAATTTTAAAACATTTTAGAACAACTATGAAGGTGCGTACTAAACAATTATCCATCATCTGGCAACAGTGACAAATGTATTGATGAGGGTCACCGATCCCAACAACGACAGTTTATTACTTCACAAGGAAGCAGAACTCATCCAGCCATCCATCTTCTTTTGCAGAGCAAACCAAATTCCCGACATATTAAGACAGTAAAACACAGCAAGCGATGAACCGAACGTTACAGACTAAAGAAACAAGAAAAGAAAAAAAGAAAAACCATTCTGAGTCCGATTTATTAATGCTGAAGACCGAAATGAAAGCTAACAACAGTAGTGATTACAACTGCTAGCGGCGACTGATTTAAATCGCCCTTCCTCTATTTTGTTTAAATGAATCCCACATTTCCAAAGAAGGAATGAAAAAAACGGCAAACTATGTGTTCCTAGGCGGTTATTAGTTTAAAAGAAGTGATGAAATTTTGTAGCAAATCTATCGCTTAAGGAAGTGGATGACAATTACGGTACTGATGGAAATGAATGGCATTACGTGCACCTCTGTCCACTCCAACACTACCAGTCGCTCAAACATTCTGTTTTTGGATTTGCACGCATTGACAATAAGGAAAGATTAATGAACTCGAAGTCTTGACAAATAGTGTAAGGCAAACTGAATGCAAATGGTGTTATAAAACAAGTGAATCCTTGATCAAGAAAAGCGGTTAATCTGATAATGAATTTCCGCTTTAAAACGATATATACATTTAAGGAAAATTAAGAAACAGCTAACTCTTTGAGAATGTGGCTAATGGAATAAAAGCATCAAGACCAAAGGACTAACCTAGGGAGAATTGGTGTGTAGTTCACAAGACCACGCGTAGGTTATAAGCACACTGCAGCAGTTAAGTTAGGGAACCCACAAAACGAAACCATGCATTTACTTAAAGTCTACGGAAAAAGGAAACAAGGGCATCATGAAGACAAATAGTATCCAAATAGCCATGGAAAGCTGAACGGCATACAGCAGTATTAACGAAATAAGGCGGTACAATCTAGGATTTCCAAAAAGATCCCCTCCTGCACCTGTTAGCCGCAATAAGCAAGATCAAAGGAAGAGAGGAAGGAAGAAGTGATAAAATATTCACGATTGGACAACCGGATCAGCCGATTAAAGTCACTTCAATGCCCACCAAAAATCTCAAAGTCTATTAAAAATTAAATGTGGAAAACAGAAAATAGCCTTTCAAAGTTATCGATAAAAATGCGGGTGAATAGAATCTTTCTTGCGTCCGTGCTACTAACAAAATAAGAACAAGAAACAATGACGACCTACTCTAGTAAGGTGGACAATTTAGTCAAGATAAATAAGACCCTTCCTGGTTTTTTCTTCATTTCAGAATACTCTTTATGTTGGAAATATTCACTAGATAGGTTCCTAACCGAGGGGCAACTGTGATATTAAAGGCCTCATACAAATTATGCCAAAAAACGCTAATAGTGATGATGATCACGCACCATCAGAATAGGACCAAAGTGCAAAAAAATTGAGACGAAGTGCCGCAGAAACGGTGTTACATTACATTCAATGACTAAATGTGTGGTACATAAGTGACTTTAATATATTGTACAAAAGGGCACAAGACTTACCCAGCTTCCATAGCCAGCCACGCATGATGCTGGGTTCGGAGCATTCTTCTGCCAGCTGAATCGGCTTCGATTTGATGCCATGATAGACACTCTAGGGAAAGAAGCGAAATAAACAGGCACACAAAGCAAAAAACAACCGCATAAAAATAAGTCACGGTTTCTAGCCGATCTAGACAGATTTCATTCTTATCCACTTGCATCCCACTATGAAAAGAACACCCCAGGAGTGGATTTTCAGCATCCTACAGGAGGCGAATTTCACACCCGATACACATTTCGCTTTGGCCTCGGTCTGACCCCAACAGCGCTGAAGGGTTTTATTTGTCGCGATTTGTACTTTCAGTTCACATAAACGGTACAAAAAGGTGTACTTGCGTGTGCAGGAACAAGTGGCCTGGGAGAGATGATGCACACAAGAGGGAGCGATATCGCGCACTCACAAAGAAGGCAACTAACTTAGACCACGACATTACCCTGGGAGTGATATCCTCGAGGGCCTTCATAAAACTCTAATGAGACTAAACCTGCTTTATTAGTGTCAACAATATATGTATTATCATGGAAGAAATGTGCATCATAATAGTGTAGTCGGTACAAATCACGCGGATCAATTTAGAAGCCATTAAACAGGATAGCAATCAGCAGTGGTAGTGTGTAAATTCAACAGGGCATAGAGGCAAACGAAATTCAGCTGTATATCAGCTTGTGAGCAAAAAATTAGGCGCAGACACGGTAAGGGGTTTAAATCCTGTAGAGGGTCCGAAGTCAGCCATGGGTTTGTCTGACAGTGACGATTCCGATTGTGATAGTTTCAAGCCTACCACCATGGCAGTCAGCCCTAGAAATATTCGGCACACGGAACATCTGATCAGCACATAACCTGTTGTAAAAATACGATAGGAACGGACCTTTCTAGGGGAGCAGTGAACATACTTGTGGGCGAAAATTTCCAGTCGCGAAAAGTACACGCGCAAGAAGGATCCTAAGACAGATTTCCACATGAAGTCATACTACCGCCTAGCATGCGCATTAAAACTCCACTAGAAGTACACTGAAGGTTGGTATTTCAGAACCGTTGACAAAGCCAACCCAGCCATGCTAGGATGGTTCAAAAGTACTGAAAGATCTCTACTTCGAAGTTGGGCTAGGTACATAAGCGTGGCAGAATTTGGTGTGAGAAAATTGTTTAGTTAAAACAGCTTGTTTGCTTTTCTCTAAAAAATCTAAAGCCCCAACGCACTTAAACGCCTCTTGAAATGAATAGAGCTTAGCCTAATGCAAGAGAACAGATAAAATGACAAGGACTAACTCGAATCATCTCCTCGGAGAGATTGGTCTCTTTGTCAAAATCCAGCATGGTTTGAATGAACGTCTTCTCATCAGCCAGACTGAGATTTTGGCTCTTTGCATTGGTGTTATGAAGGGTAGTGTTTAGGAGAATGGCGGCATAGGCCAGAACGTAAGCGTCCTCTATAATGATTTTTAAAAAGTAAAAAAAAACACGAAAACACTTTACGTTATAATCTTCGTGGGCACCTAACTTACGGGGAGTGTGGAAAGCGCTGGGATTTTGCAGGACATATTGATGAGCAAAGGCGAGGAGAATCTTGTCAATCTTTTGACTCTCGCCGGGTAGTTGGAAACTGAAGAGAAAGTTCCTACAACAAAATAGGAGGAAACCGTAAATAAGAAGGAATATAGCAATGACTCACATGGGAGAACTAATTACCTTAATGCCGGAAGAAAGTCTTGCCCAGCAAATTCATGTAACTTCAGGTACTCCTCCAGAACTTGCATGTTAAATTCCTTTGAGCTAAAAACAAACAAAAGTCCGTTTTGGGCTCACAACAAAGGAAAAAGAGAAGAGATAGTTTACCCACATTTCCCCGAGGTATGAACCTATAGCTGCTTTGGAGAGATTGCGCTTTTCGTCGACGAAAAACCTAGCAACCGCGGCTGGATTACGTTCAATAATATGGTTTTCAAAAAGAAATTCTAGACCCTGTAAAGGGAATATAAGGCGTAAACGTTGAATACCATTTTTGGATTTGAGCAGAACTTCCTTTTGCCAAGGTTACGTCTCGCATCCAATTCACTACAAGGTTGAGAATAACAACAACCTACCCTTCAGGGGAGACGCCAGCTTCTTCAAGTAATCGAGTAACGTGCTCATATTCCGATTTCAACAGCTAAGACATACGAACAAAAACAAAACACACCTGAATGTTTTTAATAGTCTCCAGACGTTGACTACGAATAGCTTCAAGTCTTTCATTGACATCCCCTAAGCATTCTAATGAGATAACAGCTTATATTTTCCAACGAACCAGCGGTACTCATTTCCGTACGCAGTACTGACACCAGCACAAATAAAAGCTCGAAATTAAACAGCCGTGAAAATACACACGATAGCCGCTCCCACCATCGTCAGTGTCATCCAATGGGATTCCGAGACAAGCCACAGTAGCCTACATTGATTAAGTAGTTGAAATTGACGATGAAATAAAAATAATCAGGGAAGTTTTTAGGTAATCATACCTTCATTTAGGCCGCAAGCTTTCAAAGAAGTGGAAAAGTTTGCTTGAAATACCATTTTGGGGAACAAACCCCCAACTTTCCACAGTACTAATGTGTTAATAGCCATAAAACTCTAAAACGTTTTTAAATGTACTTATTTACAGCATGAGTTTGTAATTGGTTCGCCTGGAAACAAATTGCAACTACGTCTAGAGGAACGGACACTACTATTGAAACCTATATATGTCCATTCACAATTTACTCCTAGAAGCAGGTAATTTGCACTCATTGGCTTTAATATTAGACAAAATAGACGCAGAGTCATACAACAGATAATGAATGTAGCAAACGCAAAATCTATATTGATCCCACTCAAGGATTGTTTCGTAGAGCCTATGACAAATTAATGTTTTAAGGAAGATGATGAGCTGTAGTGCACTGTGCCCCTTCAAAAGTGGTAATGAGCCAGTGTATTATTAAAAGCACACAAAAGCAGTGGGTAGAAAGTCTAGGAGGCCACCTTTAAGACCTGGAATCATCATCGTAGACCGTAAATGCATTCTAGAGGGCTTAAAAAAGCATGCAATTAAACGCACATGTAAAACATCAAATTACCGCATAACTTTCTCTTGCCACTAGCAAAAGAGTATGCCCTTTTTGTGAATTGCTTTTTAAAATTAGGTGTTACTCGGGGGCGCTTCTGTTAGAAGAATTTACGATAATTATTGCTACATTTTCAGCAATGCTGATCCTGCTTGCCCAAAAATATACTGAAGCTCTGTAAATTCTAAAGCTGTGCAAGGCGGCTTGTGTGCTATTGATTGTTTTGCAAATTTTAAAACTATTTTTTGCTGATTTTTCTTTCTACAATGGGTGCACTGTAGCACCTCGAAAATTTTCTGAAGACAAAAGAAGAGAATGCAAAACTGGAACAAAGTCTACACACGAAAAACTAAAAACTGGGGCAGAAAGGGCACATTCAACATACAGGTAAGGTGGGGCATACAGTATGGTCCGGTGGCCCTCCTACCTGGCAAAGGAACAATGGCTAAGTCACAAATTAGCACTTTACTATAATCGGGGGGTAAATAAATAACTCGGGCATTGCAGCACACTTGGATTGTTACCCAAATTTAGCTAGTCCTTTGTTTAGTTCGTTATCAATTATTTTATATCTCCATTTCACCTGAGTCGCCACTATTTTTTTCAAGAAGATTAATTGTTCTAACTTCGAACCCAGTAGTTTAAATAATTTTGTCTTTTAATTCTTATTAATACCTTTTGGATTCCTCTTCAGATTTGCCGCTAATGAATTTTACCTATTTGCCTTAACGTCTGCATTTTTAGTACCTTGAAGGTCGTAGTTGTTAGCATTGTGGGTTTCAGCGTGATGGCCTTTAATCCTGGTCCCAGAGCAACTCATCTAGTTGTGGACTCAGCTGCCTTTATTGAGCGTACAAAATTGGATGTAAGTTAATTTAACGGTATTTTAATTGCTTAGACTTATGGCATGAAGTGTCACACTACTCAGTCTGTTATCGATGAAATTCGCGACAAGAATACCAGAGCCTTCGTCAACGCGCTCCCTTATCCACTAAGCATTGATGTACCCACACCAGAGTCTCTTAAGTGGGGTAAGATTGGGATCTATCATTTTTAATGTAGTCAGCGAAAGAAATAGCTAAGAAAACGGGTGATTACTTTGTTCTATCGAAAACTGATATCGAAGTTGTAGCCCTCACCTACCAACTCTATATTGAGGTTACTGGTGACGAACCAGTTGTAAAAGAGGTAAGGTGAGTGGTGTGTTTTTATTCGTTGTAGATTAAGCGCCCCACATTCACAGACAAACTATTCCGATTTAAAAAACCACCAGAACTTGGAAACGGCTCTAATTCCCCCAAACCGATCCTAGCAGACGAAGATTTTGACGTAGAAGCAGCTATGAATGAACTGGAATATGATCTTGGACAGATCTCTCAAGACCCACTCCCTGGTGCCGATGTCGGTGTCACCATAGACGAGGACTATTCCGAGCAATCAGATTTTGGAGATGATAGCGATGATTCCAGCGACTGCAAGCCTGCTGAAGGCGAGATATTAGAAAATGTTGAACCCGAAGAGGTGGTTAGTGAGAGCGACTGGATTACGTCTGATAACTTGGCTCAGAAGCTGAAAGAAGGCCTGGGTCTCGGGTGTCTTCGGTTGTAAGTCCATAGTCTATACGTTCACCCCACCGATTTCTGTTTTTTCTTGTTACTTAGTCACTTTTTTAGAGACGATGAAGTAGAAATATCAGAAGACACACCGCCTGTGCCCGTGGCTTGCTTAACGAAGGATTTTGCCATACAAAACGTCCTTATGAACGTGGGAATCACTCTTTTAGCCTTATCGGGCAAGATTATTAGGGAGGCTCGGACCCACGTTCTCTGGTGTGGCTCGTGCTACGCGTGCGTTTTTATATGCCATTCGTCTCTCGTTTAAAGCTTTGAAGGCGTTTTCCCATACTTTCTTTGTCTACTTAGACACACAACCAAACAAAATTCATACTTCTGCGCGATTTGCGGATACCCAAATCTGAGACGGATTCCGGTCACTTTACATGAGGATGGACAGTTGGAGTTCCATTTCTCTCGGAAGTTTAAAAAGAATCTCAGGGGCACTAAGGTATGCTTCTCCATTTCCATCTAGTTGTACTCTATACTATTGACGATTCCTGGTTGTCAAAATAGTAATGGAGCCACTTTTTACCCATTCAAGGCACATTGGTTGCTTTCACGCCTTAGCAGCTAAGTTGAGATTTTACAGGATCACATGCTTGTCGTTTAAAAGTTGACGAAATCTTCATTTTTATTCCTCTCCTTCAGCACCCGATAATCCGTCCAAAAGGTGGAAAATATGCTGACGACCCAATTTACCGAGCCGACCAGCGCCTTCCGGACCGCCGCGCACCGAAACCCAAGAATCCCAACGTGATCCCGATGGGTGCCACCAACGGCCTCCTCTTCTGCGACGATGACGAAGAGGATGGAGACGGCTTTCTCATCGATGCCGCAGCGTGTGGTGTGGACGGTGGTGATCTAGCAAGCCTTGTCTTCCCCGTTCACGACGTGACCAGCAAAGCAGCCACTCGGGGTCTTCGTTCAGACGGCCAGATTGTGCCAACACCGTGGGAACGAGTGGCCACGGGCGGCGAGCACGGACTCAAGCCAACTCGATATCGAGCAAATAGGCCGGGACGAAGGCGTACGGGAGGAAAAAAGCACAGATTGACGAAGTAGACTTTTTTCCTCCTCTCCTTTGTATGTATCTACCAGCGTTTCTTTGGTCTTTGTAAGAAGGTGTAGCATGATCATCGACTCGAGTTTTTGGTTGGATGAATTGGACGATGTTACGGATAAAAATGTCACCACGCCCTTCTGATCTCTGGGAAAGGATGCGCTGGGGTTCGCTCCCAAACTCCCCTGCCCGCCTGTGCATTTCCTCATTGCTCATCGTCAAACATCAACCAATATGAATGGACCTTTGGGAGCTCGGAAGTGGATGGGTAACAGTGAAAAAGACGATGGAGATGAAGTGGGCTTGTACTCTTGGGCCATTCCTCCCACACGCTTCCTCCCATCGTCTTTGCAGTTCTCGAGACAGCGCACCCGTTGACAGTAATTAGTACTGTTTGGGGCTTAACTGTCAGGCTACTGATCACTATCATGAAGTAAGTTTGAATTTTGGCAAGAGATCAAGTGTAGTTTGTAAATAATGGAAGCTGAACAAGTTAGCTGTGCACCACACGAACATGCCCCTCGGCTAGGTCCACAAGACCTGAGATTTTGAGTAATTGTGTGACCGCGCATCGTAATGCAAAGAAAACGTCTTTTAAATTTCATATCTCCCCATTGCATGCTCGATATGGGCCAAGAACAAGTTCAAATTCATTACACCGTCGTCACCAGCAATTGCTGATGGAGAATTAGGACCCATGAAAGGCGTTGTACATGCTGTAGATACAGAAATTAATTTACGGATTTTAAAAACACGATTCAATAAGCTCACTACCATCACACGCACGTTCGTCAAGAAGGATAATCAATTGCATTAAATCAAGTGGCAAACGAATTGGGTGAGCGTAAATGGGTGAAACTCCTTGGGGAAAGGCACAAGACAAATCAGGTAGGGTAGGAATAGTTGATTACATATATTTCAGACACAAATAGAGGGCTTATTGTCAGAAGAAGCAAACATATATGTACAAGAGGAAGAGATTGTGGGCAAAATCAGTTCGATGCAAATGTACAGACAGAAAGACGGTGGAACAGAAGGCGTGCATTCGCACCCGCCCTAGAGAGCAGTGCCGCGCTCCAGATTCTGCTTAATTTCTGCAGTGTACTTCCCATAGTGACGATCCAGCAGCTCGTTATAGCGCTTGTTGCGCTCGTTGATGTAGTCGATGTCGGCATCGGGATCAAAGGCGCGACGTCGACTGTAGGCGGCCTTCTTCTTCTCCTGCTCCTTCAGCGTCGCAGCCATCCGCTCCACCGCCTCACGACTGCTTTCAGCCCCTGCCTGGATTGCTTCCACCAGACCAATCGTGTGTGCCGTCGGATAGACCAAATCACCTCTATAAAACAAAATAAGATGGACGCGTTGGCGAGCTGGTTATTCAATCTACATCTTCCATCTTGACTGTGCAGCATATATTGAGCCATTACACAAAATCAATTTACAACAAAACGCAGGCACGACGATCCCCCCCCCCCGCCCCATGGATCTAAACATGAATCGAACTAGAGTTGAACAAAGGGGAAGGAGTACAAACAAGTTAAAACATTGGTAGAATTCTAAATGCCATTTTAGTCACTTTTCTCCGGCAAGCTACAAATTCACTTTATCTTGACCACAGCATCCCAGGTATAGGTCTTATTAAAAAAGTAAACTACACTTATTATCCGAAACACTCGGTTGCTAGATTTGCACACTCATTCCAAATATCCTGATACCCAGCGTCTGCCAGCTTTTCGAAATTGTAGGTATTCCCAAATGATCGTATTCACCATTGTCACAGACAGATTCGTCATTTGCGCAATTTCATGACAGGTTATGTGTTAATCATCTCAAATCAGGCGTTCCACACGCTGAGGGTTCACAGGGGTGACCATTGTCGACTGGGAACCACCACGACTAATATCGTCATCGACAAAAATACGACCGTCCATGAAACTACACCATTCAAGTATTTTTGCCCAACACCAAATATTGAAAGAGACTGTGGACACCACCCTTACGATAAGACTCCTACATGGCGGTAGACACTACGTACGCTTGCTTAATGTATGAATAAGCAAATGCCAACGAATCGACTGGGAATTGAAGCATTTATTAAAGGGTAGAATAAATACCTGCGTTGACACTCCAATGAAACCGGGCAAATGCACCGATAACTGCAATGGACTAACGAAAAACATTGCATTAGTAATGAAACTCATCCAGAAAATCAAAAGTGGACGAAGGGTATCGCCAGCAAACTAGCAAACTTCTAGCTCGATCACGGCGCAACAAAAACTCAGGAATTCAATGCCCATTTTGTAACAAGACACTTAAGCATACTGACAACTTCTCCATTTAACCCTGAACAAATGCTCCCATTTGGCCTAAGACTGGAACAAATGACCTAGTTAACAAAACAAACAAAAATGGGAGAACCAGACGCTCACAGCCTTTCCTTCTGCTTCTGATACGCCACCAGATCCGGCTTGAGAGCCTTGGTTTGCCTGAGATATTTCTTATGAGAGGCGTCGGCGTAGGATGCGAAACCAGTAACATCGCCTGCTTCGTCTTCGGCGCTGAGGTGAGGTCTTCTGCGTCTCTTCCGCATCTCCAGGCGATTAACCAGTTCTGCGGAAATGTTCAGATTTTTGGCGCGGTCCACATCCACACCCTTTTTGGCGCACTCCGCACGGAAGGCGTCATCCTCCTCCTCCCAACGCATTCTTGCTTGCTTTGCCTCCCAATTAGAGGGCAAGTGCTTGCGCCTGTCCTCCTCTACCACCTGCACGTGGTTAGCTTTCTTCGCCTCATCCTTCAATAAATTTAAAAGGCATCGCCGATGTCAAAATAATAGTTCAGGAAGAAAAAAAGCTACGCACAACAATGTAGCAAACTCGCAACTAAGAAATAAGTAGATACTCGGAAATGAAAATATTTAAGACTGCTTCAAAGGTAACTACAAGCTTGTCGCAACTTAACTTAAGGTACACGACCAGTAAGATATCGGTTCTGGACATAAATATAAAAGTAATAACAAGCGGAGCACAAGAACTCACGATCTTTAACTGTAATTGCCTCAGTCTACTGAGACGATCCTCCCGCTTGCCATCGGAAGCAACCGACATGGTTATCGAAACCAAATGTATGCTTCGTGCCACATCGTAGCGAACTTAAACATAACTCCACATATAAAAAAGTTCCAACTGAAACTAAAAATATAACAAGTGAGCAGCCTAATTTTTTTAATATTTTTAATGTGCATATTTTGTAAAGGAGAAATCTTCTCTTATCCTACTGGTATGACCCATTGTATGGAGTTCATCAATATTTCTGAGAAAATTAGGAATATAAAAAAGGACTTGTTTTAAGTGTGGGCGTGTTTGAAGTTTATAGGCTTGCATTATCAATTTGAAAATAAATCCACAGTTTAAATATGAACTCGCGTCCTATTTTGGCAGTGGTAATTTTGGAGTGCCCGTCTTCCCTAATGTAACAATCTACATTAATGTAGAAACATTATCACTGATGTGCACGAGAACAAACAAACTCTTGACATAGTTAAATAGCAATATTAATATCAGTATGCAGCGCCTAGATTCTGCGCTGAACACAGGATAAGATGAAGTATTTTACTAGGGCTGGGAGCCTACAGCACGACTTACGTAGATTGTAATGTCCGCGTAGCTCAATAAACCCACAGATAAACTAAATATCAACTTGCTACACTAGAATATGAGCCTAGAGCATTTTTATGCACCTGAATACCCAAAATCTCTCCCAGATATTGTCCAGCTGCAGATAAGGTTTCCTTACATAAGTTTTTGCTAACCTAGTATCAACTCATGAACTGCAACCCTTTTTAATCTCCTCAACCCTTTAACTACAAATTACAATATCAGCCCTTTCCATGCTCATTTAAGTAATCCGTAAAGAAATATCACCAGTCCCCTGCATTCGTAAAAATTCACACTTTTATTGAAAAATGCTTGTTATTAGCCGCGAGGATATGGGCGCGGTTTCCCGGTTGTGTTGTTAAGGAGGAAGCTAGGCCGTGAAGAATAAAGGACCTTTGTATTTACGCATAGTTATGGACAGAATATCAAGTCGTTGATTTAAACAGTTGCCTCTTTTGATCAGCGCTCTATTCGACCACCCTCTACGCTGCCTTAAACCTCCACGAGTCATAAACCCTATCTGGCTAATTGATTTCTATTTTAGGCTTTTTTCTTTTGATAAATTGTTTTGGTGAATGGGTATTCACTAACCTTGTGTTTCTCAGGGCCGATTTTATGGTCTACAAAGCCTAATTTTCGAATCTCGATCTTTTTTGTAGGATCATTTACATGGTCGATTTAAAGTGGCTTTACACATCTTCATTCATCATCTACTCTTTCTCGCTGCCTTGTTCTCACTTCATCGCCACCTAGTCACCTATTCTGGTTCTGTCTAACCACACTTTACAACTCTTCATATAACTACCTCTGACAGTTCATTAATGAAGGTTTTCAAATCGTTTTAATGTGTTGTTGCCTGAATTGCTAATTTATGCTGTTAGGTATGGATAGCAAAATGAACGATGCTTCAATGATCCTTCTGTCATGACCTTCCTCGAATTGAATTTGTCAGATGTGCGCCTCCGGTGACACCTGGGTTTGACTGCCAATGTAGCACCCAGAGTCCCCTCCTAAATTGTCAATAAGTCACGTTAGGATGGTAGCCAGTGAAAAAGACTGAAAGGTCACGCAAATATGGCAGAAGTACAACCGGGAGGACTGATGGGTCCACGCAGATACGCCTACAGTTGTCCAAGGTATTAAATCACAACAACTACATTTGCACCTCAAATATCTAGCGAATTGAGTTAAAATGTCTCCAACAGCTCATTTTCCATTCAGAATGATGGGGAAGTTCAGAAATCTGGCTTCGCAGCAGCAATTACTAAATTTAACATCTTATAAATTCTTCCACATTTCTGTGACAATTTATAAGAGAAAGTGTTAGTGCTTGTTCCTCGCAAGCGAAAACCTCTAAATGGCCTTTGGATACATGCAGTTTTTTCGAAAGTTGTTACGCCACGTCCACTAATTCATGAGTTGGCAGGGTGTACCAAAAGGGATTTCTAAGTCATAGCCTTGTGCAACACATCAAGACTACCTTGGAGACGAAAGAAAATATGACATTCAACATACTGGAGCTACTGACATGGTCCGAAGACTAGCCCCCTCGGTGGAGCACCTAAGTGGCCCATTTATTAAAGACTGAAAGTTAAACAAACCAGCCCTCTCCTCTTTCGAGCTTCGCTTCCGGCGCTACCCTTGGTTAATCTCCTGCGTCAGCAGTCGCAGCGCAGTGGGTGCTGCAAGGAAACACCTACGAGCCAATCAGAGCAGTCATCGAATTCCCATGAGATTGGGAAGGTACTTAATCGCAACATTACTGATTTCTTTTGGTAATTCTACTGAATCTGGAGACTCGTCTTGCGTGGAAATTGGAATCAGCAACGTAGAATTGTGCTGACCATCAATTATGTCCATAGCTTATCATAGGAACGCTGGTCTTAAAGCAGGGCCATATAATAAAGGGCAGGATTTCGCGTCAATTCCTCCTTGCTACTTTTTTTCTCACCTTAGACCTGCCCAATCATATCAATTATGATACTATCCAGCCAGTAGAGAGGTAGAGGTATCGTGAGACCACATAATTGATATCTTCAGATAGGTACTGTAGCTAGTTCCGTAACAAACTTTCCCAGATGGTTCACCACCAGTGTTCATTCTGTTGTAAAAAGCTTGCCTGCAGACCACTGGGCTGGAGGAGGTGCCGAAGGCAGACGTCATTCTTGGCCCTTCTGTTAGGGCTCGTGACTGAATCCCCCATCCTCATCATATGCCTTTCTTCCACCCCACTGCGGTTTATCACCCAGCAGTGTAGATCAAGGTATACGTCCTTTAAGATCAAGTTCGTTGTCCGCTGCTACCACTGTAGCGCTAAAAGACTTCCTTGAAGTCACAAGAAGACATAATACTTGGGCAGTACACATCGGTATATATATTTGAAATAGAGAAGGGATTTGAGCTACTGGTATGGCCCGGAGACAGCCCACCCAGTTAAGGTACAATGACGGAGAGCCTAGGTGGCCCTTTACCAAAATTATCAGTTAAGCAAACGACCGACCTGTTGCACAAGATTATAAACGAAGATTCCAAATCCACTCTCCAAAAGATTCATTTTAAATAAATTCTTTGTGGTGCTAGAGACTGCCAGCAAACACATAATTTGATCGGTATCTTTGGTAGGCCGCGTAAACTAAATGAGCTAAAGCGGTTGATGTGATGGCAAAAGGGAAGCAGTCCTGCTTCTCTTTCATCACATCACAACACGTAAGTCTCAGTGTATTATTTGCTCTCGATTTTCTATCGTCGATCCTGATCAACGTGACTATTGAAATCCTCCATTTGGAGGGTCTGCTCGTCCAATTTGCAGCAAAATCTTAGCGCTTCTGTGACCTTTCAAATGCTTACCAATGAGTCATCACCAATCCTACAGACGAATGTGTGAATGACAAGTTGTTGTGAGGCTCCGTTAATGAACAGGGACGTTTCATTGCCTGAGCCGAAGTGGTGGCTACTGATTGGCTAATCGCAATGTTGGGGAATCAGATGCCCAGAACCAAGAGGTGTCATTCACGGTTGTGGCGGTGGTGGTGGTGGCGAAACAGGAGGGAAATAACCGCCGTCAAATGCTAATGCCAGTAAAAATGAACCCTAGGAGAAGAGACGCAGAGGTGGGAAAGTCGAAGGCAGGTGACTGCCGTAAGGCCCGACCAGCGAAGGTACCGCGTTGTCTCAAAGTGGTACTGAATGTTAAAAATACTACTTGTGATTAGCTTGCCAAATGAAAGATACCATATGTAGATAATAACAAGTCTAGGATTTACCCAAAATGAGGGCATCATTATATTTCATACACATCTAAAGGCTTGTTCACATAAACAAAATCTAGAAACATTGAAAGACTAGCGTCAGGAAACAATCAGTCAAGCCTTACAGATGTAGAGGGTACATTTCACCACGCTAGGTCTTCATATTCTGCAGTTGCCACTTCCGACTTGATGGATCGTCTACTGGTTAAGGCTGCAGCCCTTCGGCCACAAAAAATAGAACAGTCTCTTGTCTACCAGCCTTCCCTAACATTAAAGAAGCTGCCTAGAGCTACAGCTATGTAGTGGTATAAACTTATATCCCTGTAGTTGTCAATGCCAGGAGTTTTTGTACTGTCCCCTGTGCTTTTGAGTAGGACCGTCGTTTGTGCTGAAATCACGTGGGTCAAGGCTGACAACCTAAGCTATCAAACGCAGGATGAGTTGAAGTAAGTCCAACGAAGGGGTACGAATTTTCCCAATCCATGCTCTTTGTTTTAATTTGGCAAGTTACATTTTTAACTGTGGAAGTTGTATTGCTGGGATCTCGCCGTCATTGTGCATAATGCTTTTGTCATTGGAAGGCTTGCCATTCACAACTAATGACACCGACACTGCATATTTTTATCGGTAAACCGACCAATCAAACAAAACCTTATTCCATGGAAGTCGCTTTAATCATCGCTATATCAACATCTTAATAAAAAGGTATTTCACTTTTGTTCCCAGTTTACAAGGTCATTTGGGAAATCGGTCACCATGGCCCAGAAGTTTTATTGTTTTACCAGGACACCAATGAAACTGCTGCTAAAAGACATAACAGAATATAATCGACTCCTAAACAAAAATAACATGCAGTTACCTCAGTTTCTTACTTTCAATCAATCTGCATGCGAGGGAGGCAGTGGTGCAGCCACAGTGCTTGCCAATAGGAAAATTTCACGTGTCACGTATTTGTGACATGCTGGATTTGGGAGGACAACAGAGGTTCCATCTTCATGTGAAATAGGTGACTAATGGTGATTATGTGCATGAAAAGAGGTTTTTTATTATACACCGCCCAAAACAGTGTTTCAAGCATACGAGTCCGTCGTCACAAATACGTGACACATGCTTCATGACGGTTTCATAAATAGCATCCGACATCACCAACTCGTTTTGAATTTGGCTAATGACAAGGCGGTCACGTCTCAGCCATTCCAAAGCCTCTTTAGCACAACAACGGTTACGACACAACGTGGAAACCCTCGTCTTGATCGATGCAGAATGACTTGCAAGAGCATCACCTTCCCCTTGCCCCCGCCGAAACCCCCTCACTCTCCCTTCCCGTTATCCCTATCAGGTTGATAAAGCCCACGCGAGGCAGCTTAGTAGCACTTTTTCCAACCACTTCACCATCCTCCAATCCATCAGAAAGTCAGCATTTATTGGAAAAATATCCTCTCATTCTGTTTGATAAGACTTCGCAAAACAAAACAATTTTAGCACAACGGTTGGGAGTCAGGTAGGCAGTATGGAGTAGTGACATAATATATGGGGCAGTGACCTCTAGACATCCTTGGTTTTGCTGATACTGGAGTACTTAAATTCGTCACCAGAATTGGCCTCCACTTCAACGCGCATCTGTAAAAATCAGTAAAAAAATGCATAACAATGACCCACTGCTTGTAAGCCCCACATTTTTCTACAAGCAAAGCCTGTTTAAATGTCTCCTGGGAAAAAAATTGTATCAAAAATGGACTTTGAGCGTTTATCACCTGCGTCACACATGTGATCCCCGTGCTTACTTGGTTAGGGCTAGCATCACTAATATGACACATGCCTTCTTCCTCAGGTCATGATAAGTGCGACTACACCTCAACTTGACAGCATGACCAGCTAAAGCGCAAATAAATGACAAAATCTCTAGAATAGGAGAATGAGATTGCCCATTGCCCTGGTGTTGTGTACCCCTTGCGTGCTCGACAGTCGCCCACTTTACACCAAAGGGCTTCAGCCGTTTTAAAACAAAACAGGGGTTTTAACCGATACGTCGCGCAATTTAACTTACCACTGAGAATTTTTAAGCCTTGCGAATTAATAAATAGGTAAGTGAAATGCATTTCTCACGGATTAACCAATCAGTGATGGGGGTCACTTCATGTTTTGATGATTAAACAAAAGTGTAGGCTAAGAACTGTTCAGGAATCGGATTTGACATGTGATTGGCAGTATCATGGTAATGGTGATTTGGTACTTTGTTTAACTGCGCGTCTACGTGAGTCTCCGCAGTAATATCTCGACTCGGCAGCCTAGCCTTAGGGTAGTGCTAGCAGCCTCCCAGGTCCCTACTCATATGTTGGTAAGTAGTATATTCCTCCAATGCAACTTTAACTTATTATAACCTCGGGGAGAACTGGGGGCGCTATGTAATCGACTAAAATAAAACAAAGCTGTGGCACTAACTATAAAGCGGTAAATTTATCCACTATTTAGCCGACTTCTGCTTGAGCTCTGGACTGCATTTTCGGATTAAATTAATAGTTTTTTTGAGTTAAAAGTCAGTAAAAAAAGCCTTCTGTGTTTTTAACTACCCGAAGTGGAGGAAAGGTAAATGCCTTCGTTATTGGCGGGGCTTTCCGGCCCAGTAAAAGAAATGGGCCGTATCACACCAAACCAGACCATGGGATCGTGCACCAAAAGCCATCCAGGATCAAGACTTTTATTTTTACTTCCTACTGATGCTAGTAAACATTAAAAGCAAGGAAAAAGTGCTCCTGAAGTAATTTAAAAACTGAAATTTCATCAGGTTCTAACTGCTCGTTTGCAATCATACTTAAGATGAGCTGCTTTGCACAACAAATGCCCGAGTGCTCTACCCGTTTGCATCTTTGAATCATTCAATACGGCAGGAAGTGATGGCTATTTGCTACATGGCCTCTCGCCTCACGAGGTATTCTCAGACTGAACGACGACGAAATCTGGCATGCAAAAGGCAGACCTATGCATCGAGGACCCCCTTAATATGCTCTTCAACGGTGTCACACACATGTGACACCCCAAATTCTCCACCTCCGCCTGCAAGTCGCACAGGTAACATATTAAATAAAGTCAAAATTTGGGAAGGAAAAAAGCATGGTAAATGCCAGACAAACAGGTAATACAATAGGATAATCATTGTGATCGGTATTGCTTCGAGACAGTCTCTATTGGTAAAGACGTTAGGCTTCCACCACACGCTTTTAATACCTCCAGAAATATCCCAACGACACACCAATTTTCACATCGCTTTATTCCTCTACACCTGTGCAATCACAACATTTGCAGTTAAATTCCCCTTAAAATGGGCAGTACGAGGTAGTACATCAATGAGCCAGACCAAAAGGAAAGGACAGAAAGACCCTCTAGGTTGGGCGTTCATAGCGCTTCTTAGAGTCCTAATTAACAGTTTAAATAAAAAAAATAAAATAGTGCAATTAATCAACAACTTTTGCGTTTGACCTTACTAACCTCGGGACCAACAAGGACGAGCTAATCCAATCTCCTTTGATTGACCCCACAATACATCTAATTGGTGCAAAGGCATGAATACGTGGTAGGCTTTTCATGCCTTAGAATGCTTAAACTGCTCCATTCCAAGGAGAGTCGACCACCACAAGCATCTCAGATGGTTCTGCAATACTTCGGTTGTTTGTTCAACTTCTCATTTTAGTTACCTGGACACTTACGGCCGCGCCATTGTACATCCGACGGGAGGCATTACCTCCAGAACATGCTGGAAGCCTCTCAGCCCTTCTATACGTAGGCAATATATTTTCTGTCCAAGCACTGTGACTTCCTTCGTCTTCAGTGGCCATCAGTGGCCATTTGTTGGACTTGTTGTTTGTCACAAATTTAAATCCTGCTTAGGGGGTTTTTAAAATCGAATTAACCTCAAACCAAAAACCAACTACATAGCTTTTTCGCAGAAAAAGAGAACAAAACATCAACCAGTTAGTGTGCACTGCGACTTGTCTTAACCAAATTTGTCATAGTCAACCGGAAGACGCAAGTTGCACCAGACGTGGGTGGGTAGACCACCGGGTGCCATGCGCTGTCAATTTATACCTCAAGTGGGCTACTCAACTATTTAGCAAAAAGTCTGGCACAAAAAAGCGCGTTTTCATATTATTTCTACAGTTTAAACGAAACAATCGGTGGGACCCTTGACAAGGCCAGTTAAAATAAGACGACTCACCTTTTCATGAGCACGTTGGCGTTTGAGATCGTCTTTCATGAAACCTGTGGACAATGACAAAAAATGCAATAGGTCAAACTGAGCAGACGCCGGTGTTAGAAGGCGGAATGGGGAAGCCATCTTAAAAATCAGAATGTTTTTTACGTGCGCTGGCCTACCTCTATGATATGACAAGCAGCTGTCCTCATCAAGAGAGCCTTTTAGATTTCAACACAAAAGTCTGCATGCTGGCACCTACTTTCCTCGGTTAATGGTTGCTTAGGCACCTATCTGGCACTCACTCCACCAAACTAAAGCTCATCTATTCTACTTTCTTGGGTCAGTGATTGAGCTTTCCCTTCGGTGCTTGAACCGTTCAGAGAACTCTACATCCACCACACCAGTGCTTTGACTACCTCCAAACTCCTCAACCCTTCCAGAGACGATGAGTCAATGTGTACGCATATTGTGTACACCAGCCGGCGAGGGTGAATCCACATTCATTACGTACCTCCTTTTCACACAAGTCGTATGAATGAAAGCAATTTTGTGCAGTTGGTAAACTGGTTTTGTAACGAACTTAGACCCTGGGGTGACGTCTCAGCGGTTCCAGTGTAATACCACAAGTGGGTGAAGACTCTAGGCTAGTCTCTGATGTTAAAGGCAAGAATAGAATACAAAAATTAGCTTTAATGCCTTAACCAGACAAGAAGATACTATGACATGAAACTGCTTGTCTCGGTGGTAACAAAGTGGGGGGGTGAATTGCATAAACCAGTGAAATGGGTGTGCTAAATGGACTAGAAACTAAAAAGTTTCAAAGGTACTTAACAGCTTGATCAGTAGCCTCAACAATTCGAAAGACTGATTTAATAGGGCAGATGAGAAAAGTGACCTCTAAAGGGAGGCGAATTTGAACAAGTGACCTTGAATTCAGCCAATATCATAGCGAAGGCTGTCATTGGGTAGTCATCAATAAATTATATAAACAATAAAAGGGGATTATGACACCGAAAGCAAATAAAACGAATGAGTAGACAGAATGCAGACCAGGGAGTAACTTACAGGCAGGCACACCGGCAATTACCATGCAGACGAGGATAAAAATGTTTGTCGGGAGGGCGCCGTAGTTGCCGATCATAGCAGTTGCGACTTGGGTTAGGATGATGCCAAATATCTGCGCGGCCAAATAAGGCGGTCAAGAGAAGTGACACTGAGTGGGAGGTACCAGTAAAGAGCAGTAGAAAGGCATGCAAAGCCCAGTTTTATTGGTGCTAGGACTATTTAAAAAGGCTGCCGTGATTCAAGAGGTACTAATTGTAAAATTAAAAAAGAATTGATTGGGAACAATTTCGCAACAAATGTCCCATGCTGAGGAAAAATAATGAGTCCGCGTTTGGCCTATTCGTTGGCGTTGTTCAACTCATGTTCCATACACAAAACTCACAAGATCAACTTATTACCATCGTGTATTCAGGATGAATTGATGCCTTCGGAAGTGACACCTCATTGGATGGTCCTTCTTTTTGTCTTACAGGAAGAGTTACATTCGATTTGATTTAATACTTCAATTGAGGAGTCTCCATGGCCTGCCACGATTTGGCTGCTTGTATTTTGGCCTCCTCTGGAGTGATGACAGGAATGAAGTTATTTTGATATCGTTGGCCAGACATTACATCAGTAGATGGTATTGCTGTGGATTTTAGAGCCCGTAAAGTCTATCTTCAGAAGAGGCTGCCTACCAATGGGCTCCGTATTGGGATCAGTAGTGAGGCGAAGCTGGCTATGAAATAACTGCTTACAAGGCCTGCAGGGAAATGAACTATAACCGCGGCATGAAGGCTTAATGACTCTCCGGTTGCAAGAAGCTGTGTGGTCAAGACAGGGCTGCCTCACGGATTGGAAATCTGACAATCCCTTAAAGGGCAACTCGGAAACTGTACAATGAAGTCGGTCCACGAAACCTAAGTCACATGGAGGAGATAATGGGAAGGAGGAGGAGGGGGAGCAAGACTTATTCCAATCGCAGATTACCCAAGCAATGAACGGTAGGGGTGTTGCATGCCTACTTGAAGCTGTCTAGTCATGGTTGGTGATGCGGTAATCAAAGACAATCGAGGAGGAAGACAACTTTTTGCTCTCTGACCTACAAGTGGCAATCTCATCCCCATTTCGACACTACCTCCAAAAGTTTCAATTCCCGATCATGTCACTACGAATGAGGGTAGCAAGAGACAGAATCTGCTCAATCCTGGTGATCGAAGTAGCAAGCAGAGGAGCTGATGGTTGCTTAGCGATAGCTGTGAATTTTATTTAAACGTCGGCAACAACAGTGGAAATCAGCCGACGTGGACAGCCTGCAGATTGATCACATAACTAAGGTGAGGAGATTCTGAAAGTCAACATCGGTCCAAGCCTACCAAACGGACACACCAACGTTAAGCTTCACCTTTCAAGGGAGCTAGGAAGGCGACGAACAAAGAGGGGGAAGACGTCATATCTAACAATCCAACTTACATGAGCTGAAGTATTGAGAATTCCTGAGGTGAGACCCTCATCGATGGGGTAGGTGATTTCTGCCGCGTATTCAAATCCAAGGGGCAGAAAACCGGATTGGAAGAAGCTGTGAAGGTGAGGCAGAATAAGAAGGATGACTAAATACGAGTTATTTTAGCCAGGTAAACTTTAAACTGTTGATAGCGCGACTTTGCAAACCTCATGCGAATTTACGACAGACTGCAGCGAACACGAGATTAACCGAAATAAAGGAGATGGGAAAGGACGATTCAAGACCTGGTGAATGCATTGGATGCGAGACGAAGTTTTCTGGTATTAATTCCCTCCAACCATCTAGAATGGGATTCATTGAGCCGAACCAGAGGATTCCTTGAACCTATCATAGAGGTCGCTGAGGCTTGCATTTTAAACAGCATCAAGGTACTTATTCTAGCCTTTCTCGCCCTTGTCAGGAGCGGAACTACTGGTGACGAACTTCAAGTAGCCAATTTCCCCTCCTACCCTCGCCGATGGAGTGCATGCGGTGGAATCTACCCACCAAAGTATCTGGTTGGCTTCAAATAGCTGGAGCCTTTCTCATAGTCCCCTACCCTCAACTAGGAGGCCAGGAGGGAACTCCTCCTTCTGACTAGCTAGCTCCACACTTGTCAACCACTGGATTTCTCTCAAAGTCTAATCCGACCGGATTACTGTTCCGAGTTTCTTCAGGGAGAACACAACTAAATCTTCCAAAAGAGATATCTTAAAAACCGTCCTCCCAAAGACGATAATTACAACCTGAAACAGGCGGGTGAAGAAACGAGTCAAGGAGTATCCTCAATCTCTGTGATGTGAAAAATTGATTTACCACACGAGACTTTCATGCCAAATTGGAGTATTTGAACTTGACAGGCATAGAAAAAAGGATGTTCCGTGAAGGTGTTTCCCATTCGGAACACCTGTTCTGAGTCACGGTAGGTCGTGACCCAGCCCATACCTTCCATGCGGTCTAGAGGTTCCGTCCCTTATCTCAAAATAGAGCACCTCAGCGATTAGAATTTTGGCAGGTTACACTAAGTGTCACTGAAATGTCTCTACCGGTAAAAGATCGATGATAACACACCAGAAGTGGTTATTTCACTTACCCAAGGAGGATCATAGTGAGGAAGACGGTGCCAATTAGGTTGCTGTAAAGGCTTCCCATAAAGGCTCCCATACTGATCACACTGAGGAAGTAGAAGATGATCAAGACGAGCCTAAACGAGATTGGAAAAAAAGCACTTGCCTTATCCTCAATAGGGGAAGACAGACCCATAGCACATAAGACTGCATAACTGTCCTCATCACCTCACTGTCGACACTTGACAGCGATAGCGCTGGTCAATTTCGAAAGGCTAAGGTACAAACGGGTGCAAAGGCACTGGGAAATGCAGAACAAAACCGCTTCAAACATACGCAATATTGGTGCACGTTGGGATTTTCCGAAGCACAGAATGACATTAACGCCTTTTAATGGATCGGAGGTTGGCAAATATCTTTAAAATAAGCAGAAGTCAGACGGCTCAAATATTTGCATTTTCTGACTATCGGTAGGACTAAACTAGCCTTGTTTTATCAATTTTATGCACATAATTAAAATGCAAATCCGCGTGAAGAGTGTTGGTGTTCTCTTCATTTGTTTGACAACGTTATCACATTCAGCACTGAGGCGTCACATATATGTGACGAAACGTCATGGCATCTGATTGCACCGATTCGTGAGTGTAAAACAGGTCACCTGAATTTGAAGTATAATGTGTTCTAATTATGAATACTTGCATTTTCTTCAAATTTTTTTGGGTAAGGATCGAAGTGACTGTAACAAAGCCCAATGGCAGTTGAGGGCATAGAAGAGTCATAAAGTATTTGGCCAGTGATGGTAAATTCGCTTCCATAACCCTAGTAGCTAGCCAAAGCAGTACTACCTTGTTGTAGATTAAAAATCCACAAGCAATCGAAGGACGACGCGCTACAGTGTGTAGTCCACGAAATCCTACACACACACACGCTCAAACCACTGGTAGTAATTTTTTTTGCCAGCTAAACGACAATATCTTGAGAGAGCAATGTAGGATTCGCCTGCGGAATGAAAAGTTTTGAAGTGGATTCAAGAGAATTTCAAGTGTGCCCTGAAGTCAACCGCATTAGTGAAAGCATTGCCACTGTAACCTTAAGTATCAATAGACGACAAAATTGAAGGAGATTGGCAGAAAGATGTTTTCAGGCAATGGCTCCCAGTGGAGACATCAAAAAGCACTTCTTCATTCAGCAATTAGATTAAAATCAAAATTCCACTTCTGCGTTTGCCCTTTCGTAAGCCTCACTGCTTAAAACATTTCAAGTGTGGCTGGAGGATTACAGTGCCTATGGAAAGAACTAGAAAGCAGTCACGTTAGTTATTTGGGCGTGATGTGATGCGTCACTGCAGAAAAGGTAAAAAATTTGCTACAAAGCAGTTAACCGACGTCTGTCCATAAACTTGCGAATATTCTCTGAGTAACTTTCAGTCGTGGTGTTAAATAAATCAGGGAACTTTATCACCCCATTGGGAGGGTTGACACCGAAATCGGTTTCTTGGTGAACATTTTGAGCACCAATTAAAGGTGAAAACCGCCATCATGGTTCCATTCCTGGCGAATTGATAATATGCATTCCCAGACTTTGTGGAGAAGCGGAAATGCAAGAAACAGGCATCCTTTTGACCATATGAGAGCCTTTGAATGTGGTAACTTCTGCGGCTAATTGAAGAGGCATTCTATCAACGGGTGATTGGGATAGGGACACATCGTAGGAAATGAACTGGAACCCAGGCAATGTGAGGGATAATAGTGGAGGAGGTGATTACTTGTGCTGTGGAATTATTTCTGCCTAAGCAGTCTGGCGTTCTAACAGATTGGTGTGGAAAATTAGTACCTTGGGTTGAGGATGACTGCAAAAGGAAGGGGGTAGCGTTCAGGCATAGGTAGAAGATGTGGCCGGAACAAAAATGTTACCTTCTTCAGCAATTTGCTTACTGTGAGGACGCTGACTGCATTGGGAAAAGTTGGACGCGAGTTTTGATGCACCTATACCCTGACTTATGACTGCCTCAAGTCCAAAATGTAGTACCAGCCGTATTTGTGACTAGGTGTCATCAAAATATGGAAGGAAGCATTTTGACCACTCATTGTAGATTGACAACCGATCATATTTATAAGCTCATTTGAATGATAAATGACGGTGTCGATCTTTCCCACTCACCTGTACAAGCCAGTCTTCTTGAGCACCACCCCTGCAACGATCGAACCGACCAGTCCCGCAATCACCATGCTGAACCCGATCCATCCGATAGCTACTTGCTCCGTCTACAGGGGGAAATAAAGGACCAGAAGTTAGGTTTGCACGACTGCAAAAAGTAGGAATCACAGTTTGCTGTTGTGGGTAAGGGCAGGCCCAAAAGATTGTCTGCTACGTCTTCAAGGGTATTTATCGTCTCCCTAAGAGTCTCCTGCTTCCCGTAGGGATCGGGATTGATCCTCTAAAAAAGAGGAGCTTCGATGAATAGCCAGCTTGAGAAGATAATGCGGAAATAGAAATAGCAACTATGATGTTGCTACTGATGGAGGAGGAGGAGTAGGAGGAGGAGGAGGAGGACTTGACGTTGAAAAGTTCCCTGCAACCGTGAAATGCTCCAAATTCTGAATTTCTTCTGACCGAAAATAATGCCAAAATGTCATGACACCAAACAGTAGAAATGGAAAATGTCACTTTATTGCATTGTCCTATTTGAGCCTGAAATGATTTATTCTTCTCGGGTATAGCGGGTCTCAAACCAGTAGATGCGATGGAACAAGCATTTAAATCAAGAATACGAGATGGAGAAATGCCTTAGCAAGATGAATTTCGAAACTAGCGGAAGGATTACAGTGCCCTATTCGCGATTTTCCAGCATGTCAGCTGTCATGCCCATCCACTTATGTGAAGAATGCTAAGACAGGTTCTGGTCAATGTGCTTCTGGTCGAGTTCGAGTTCATGCCTACCATGGTGTTCCAAACTGCTGTGTGTGATGGCAGACCCTACCGATTTCTCAAACAGGATAAGTAGAGATGAGACCTTCAACAAATGGACACCCTTGCCGACCAATGTGAGTAAGCCAGAAGCTCGCAACGCGCTAGCACGCACCTGTTGGCAGAGGACTGGAGACTACCAGGGCTTGCATTGTTCTGGAATGTCTAGCAGTCAGGCGCGATACAGGAAACTCCCAAAAAGTGGGACAAGAACGTTTTCTGGGGTTATAAACATTCCCAACAGAAGAGTGCCCTGATAAACAGTCAACTTTTGGTTGATGAGATATTTTTAGTGAGCACAGAGTGGCAAAAAAGCACGCCTTCAAAACACCTTAATTTAACATGTTTGCGGTGAATCGTCTCAACAACTAATCAGCGAATGGAACCGCAAAAAGATGGCCTCTTATGGCTGACCTCAGAACTCAAATTCAGGGACAGCTCATCACTGCCTTCAACGTCTTCTGAACCCGGAGAAGTGCAGAATTGGTCACCAGTCTAGAAAGAATGTTAAGAGATTAAATCAGCCAGATATCACAGAAGGGAGGTCTAACTCGATATTGACGCCACCAACGGCTGACGTCGGCGTTGTTCTATAGATGAGTGCGAAGCATGAGAAGTCGTTTAGCTGGCGCTGCTGCAAAAACAGCAAGAGAAGGACACCTTCAACCAATGGGTTGAAAGGTCACAAAGCTAGAAAATTTAAAATGACACCTGTGGAAACAAAAAAAGACAAGCCCTTCCAGGTGGAGGGCATGTCAAGATTTTATGACCCCGTCAACTCCAATTTAAACTTTGCTGACTGATTCAAACTAGTAAATGTCATACGGAAATCGCTTCAATTCGGCCATCCTTTACGACGTTGATTTGTTTCACTCCGGAAGGCGATTTCTTGACGCACCTTTCAAGATTTGGCAACTCCATTCGTGCTCCCTGTGCAGTCTTTCCAAAAGAAAAATTGCTATGCCTCAAAAAAGCACTTAACCATGGACAAGAAGTCACCTAAGTGCTGCTTTAGCATCTTCATGAGCTAATGGAGAGCGTTTGATGGAGTCCGAGCGGGAAGCAGTCCTCTTTGGAAAAAAAGCAAAGATGAGGAGGACAGAGGCGACTATGAATGTTGGGTGTCAAATCACCTTACAGATATCTATTTCGGAAAATAGACTTAAAAAAAATACAGCATTACTTCTCAGGTAATTTGTAGAAAAAAAAACGAATTAAATGCTACATAATAATCAGCTTAACAACCGACAGCCACCAGCATCAGCATCGCATCGAGAATTTATGGATACGGACAATACGCTTTATTTTTATATCCAGCATGACACAGGATTATGAAGATCTCCTGATGCCTAACAAACCTCACGTAATTCACAAATGGACATGAAGCGTTGGAATTGAGGCACTATTAATTTAAAGTCAATTGAACGAGGAGGTAAAGGTGAGGGCATCAAAGAAGCCGAGAAAGATGAATTTGCGTAGCTTTAGTTGCGTGATTTATGCAAACGATGGACTGCGCTTCAGGGTGTGCCTACAGCCTCCCAGGCCTTCTGTACACTAGTAAAAGGCCATCATTCGATATTAGTGGGCCTTACTGGGAGGCAAGGGAAAGCTACATGGTTCACCGTAACGCTCTGATGTCAAAGAGGAAGTGGGTTAAAGACTGGCTCACCCACGATGCGCGTTCATGAGTTTCATCGCGTTACCATGAGCGATATGATACAAATGGCGTGACAGCTGGATGTAGAGATATCCACTACCTTGAAGTTAGCTCAGGTCAAACTCATATCATGTGACAGGTTAGCATAGTCTCTCCGGTACTTTGAACTGTCGTCTGTAGAACTGAGTTTCTTGATTTACGCATGTACGAATGACAGGAAATGAAAATGGGAAAGTCGAACAACGTGTGATTAATTAGCTTATCTAGCACACCTACCATGTGAGAACATTTCTTAAACGATTATAACAACTGACACGATGACATTCTTTACTATACAACAGCCTTCATTTTCAAATGCCTTTACTCTGAGGCACGAGGGAAGCTTGTCATACGTGAAACTTCCTGCCTACATATGGGTGTGTGAAACACCAAGTGAGTATTAGGTGTACCGTTCTCTGAATATGGAACGCCCTACTACTACTCAGCAGTGCACTTGCCTTAAGAGTCCAGCAATGATGTAAACGAGAGTTTTTTTGCCGTCTACCACACTGTAATGGTTATGACACCTGTAGATGACTCCAAACTCTTGATGTCACATCTTGTAATACGGCACAAGTGAGTGCAGAATGCACTATTGCATAATGACATTCAAATAGAAATTGCATAATAAATGGGTGCTCAAGTTAAGCCGAGGCTAGTAAATTTTCACCTCCTTACCAGCACATTAGAACTACAGCCCAGTAGGCAGAAAGGCTTTCATTGCCTCACGACCTGCATGTCACCTGTGCCTGATTCAAATCTTCTAGTTTTTATATCTTTTTGGCCCACTTCTTTACCACCTTAATGTGTCGCCATGCCTTAGCGTCTAATAAAACAGATTGACTAATCAATGTAAATCACGGCTAGTCCAAAGAATCTAGTTGCCTCCTTTATATTAAGGCCTCCATTTTCAGTTAGCAGTCCCTGAAAGGGATTGTCCAACTAGTGAAAATAGACCAGCTAGGAGGAGGAGAAGGAGGATGAAACAAATCACAACCATGTTCCAAACCAGATGGACACGTAGCATAACGTTTGAAAACTACAATTCTCGCCTTTTGAAGTGCCTAATTATAGAACTGCAGAAAAGAGAGGAGGTGAATAAACTTTTGCACCAATCACTAAGTCGAATCATGACGCTTTTATAAGGTGGAATAGCCCTCGGCAGCATTTGTGAACCCTCTTCTGTCAGAATGTACTTGACTCTGCACCCAGAAGGTAAACATAGTGTGAAAATGCTCAAGAAGGAGGTGTTTAGTCGGCATACCGTGGGTATTGCGTAACCTGCTACCCAGGCATTATATGAAAGCAAGCATAGACTTGGAAGAACGTTTTCTTTGACCTTTTGTGACTTCTATGGCGAGGGTCACGTGCTTACAATTTTTGCAGAGAATCATAGGGATTATGGAATTATTCAGATCTTTTAAAATGCCACTTAAATTTCATTTTGAGGCAATTAATACGCAAGGTTTACAATTAAAGCGAAAATTTTGCTTAGGAGGTAATTCAATTAGGAGATGGAAAGACAATGAAAAATCAATAACTGGTATCAAGATGAAAGCAATGAAATTGACGTCAGAGACGCAAGGGGAGATATTTGATGGCTAAAACCCCTTTGAAGTACATGAAAGTGCTTTTGACTAAGCGTTTAAACAGTCTAAAATGAAAGTCAAATGTGTTTTGCCAGTAGAGCAGAGCACACTTGCATCGATGACAAGTGGGGGGGTTCGCCGTAGCTTTGATGGGGGTAAGGCAACACTTTTGACTTGCCTCGAGATGATTAAACAAATTTTGCAAAATATAATAGTGGAAAACACTTAAACTGTCTGTGTTTGCTTGGTATCAAGCAGAAGGTTTGGAAGCGGCCCTGACACTGGTGTGGAAGTTACTGTGCGCTCCAGATATTTAGACTACAAAGTTGCAGGGTAGTACTCTTGAAAAACTCCATCCAGGTAAAGAAATCAACAGCCAAAGGGACTGCAGGAAAGCCGAATGTAAGTGCCGGGATCAACTTCTGCCCCAATTCAAAGCTGCTCCAAGTTCAGCAAAGCAGTTTTGGCAGGTGGATAACTAAGCACAAAGCATGGAACCATTAGACGTCACGGATGACGATTACTTAAGGAAAGAATGATACAACTCGCCAATACTTTAATGAACACTGTGGCAAAAAACGAGAAGTTCTGCAAGTCCCTCGAAGTGTGGGATCTGCGTGCCGTTTAGGAGTTATTTAGTGGGACTCAGTGTTCTTCCCTACGTTTAAGACCCTTTACTATATTTTAGATTTAATAAGATCAAAGAGCAAGTTTTTTGAGGTCGGAAGAAAGCCACGCGTGAGCACTGAACCAGCTTCTATCCTGGCACATGCTAATCTCGTGCTCAATAGTTTATCTCCAAGTTCAAGGGTGAGGTAACCTTAAAAAGTGGAGATCACAACCCGATGAACGATTTGAACTGCCGAACCACCTATCTGTGGTGCGATTGAGGAAGCCTGATGAAAGATGTAATCACAAACTCGAGTAAAACCAGAAACCTTATGTGATTTTTTGAGGGAGATTAGACACATGTTTGAGTGGATGAAAGAAACTACCATAATCACCGTCACCGTTGTCATTAAACGCACCGGGAAAAACTCTGCGACAATGCTGTTCAGAAGGGTTCCAATTTCGTAGTACACACCCGTGTTCACACCTTCAAAAGGAAGAAGGAGAGCAGTGAGTTGAGAGACTTTTTAGTTGTCTCGCTCATTGAGTTCGTGAATGAGCGAGTGGATCGGCAAGGGAATTTGTGGGCTCCTTAACTAAGAGGGGAAGGGGGAATGAAATAGATGAACGATGAAATGAGAGTTGAGTGACTGAGAAGGCTGTTAGTTGACTGATTGACAGACCATCTGAATGAGTGATTGAGTGAATGCTTTGGCAAGAGATGGCATATCCGCTCATCTGCAACTCACCATAGCAGATGTTGAGGTAGATGAAGCTGACACATTTGAAGGAATGCGCTACTTGGTGGAAGTAGCTCTGATTAACCAGTACCGACTCCTCCGCAGTCAAAACGGAGCTCTCATGGTCTGTAATAAGCAGATAAGTCATTAAACATAGCCCATTTGGAAGTTTCTCTTCTTGTTTTAAAGGCAAGTGTATCCAAATAAAGCCTCCACTTCCATTCACCACGGATCGTTCAGCACAGAAGTACGGCAGTCGTCTTCATCCGATTGTTGCCTACCAGATGACTTGGAGTAACCACTTCAGGTGCCTCCATCTTTACAATCCAGAGCAATTCAATGAGATCCCAAAAGGGTGTTATGGTGGTACTTGGCCAGAATAAGCTTGTTTCTGCTTTTGCGTAGATAACTGGTATTGGGGGTAAATTGCCAGGTTGCCTACCGTCAGTAGGCAGGGCAAGCCCACAATTTCCCACCTGGTAACGAACACTGGCGGAAAATGTTACAATAAAGTTGACGGTCAGATAAAACGTCATTTGCGGGACCGATATACTTGATACAGTATTCGTGAGCAACTCCATGCAATGAACATGACTTGAAAAGCATTTGCTGACTATTGTCCGCCAGTTGTGCCCATTGTGTCTTGAAAGGACGAGTTGGCATGATTAGTAAGGATAAATGGGCTAAAGTCACCTTGTCATCGGTTGATCTTGATCCAGTTAACTGTGCTCAATGTCTGGGAAAAGTGCGAGGAGCGTGGTACTTCAGTACACCATACATTGGTTGCATTTCTATCCCATGGTTAATTGAAAAGAACTTCGTCTTCCAAATGACAGCTTCCACTACCACTGCAATGTGTGTGCGACAATTTTTGTTGCAATTTCGTACAAAAAGTGAGTGAAAATTTCGAGGAATAAGATGAGAAAATCCATCAACTTGGCAGTTTTACTTCAAACATAAAACCAAACGGAAGTAGAGGCAAAAATTGACCAATGTCAAAGTAAATCCGAGTCACACTCTTTCTCCGAACTCCAAGATCGCTTCAGGCCTATTCGTCCAACGGGTCACCATCCATGGCAAGACTTGACAAGCTGAACTAATGAATGAGTTAAAGGCGCGTAGAGCGGCTATTGCAAACTACCAACTGATGAGGCAAGAAGGGAGACTAGGGCAAGTTAAATCCTTGAATAAAAGCGAGAATACTAAAAGGGATGACTGACCAAAGGCAGGGGCAAAGTCAGCTTCGTCCGGTTTGTCACCTGCCAATTGAGCACGGCGTTGCAAAATCCGTTTGTACTGCGCTCGACTGGGTGCAATCTCCGGCTCCTCCTTGAAAACTGCATGCAAGGGAAAAGTGACAGTGAGGTTAGCCTGTATAAAGTGGAAGGTTTCTCCGGGACCTAGGCCCAATTGATATCATCACCTTGAGTGTGTGGCTATCAGTTCTCACTCAATTGGCACTTTAGACCCGATTGGTATAAAATCCTGAGCCGATTACAAAGCCCTTATTATTATTTTATGGAAGCGATTTCATTTACTCGTGGAACCAAGAGACGAAGTAGCGTAAAAAGTGGTGTGACAGATCTGCCATCAAGGAGTTTGGCGGGGCAAGAGGATGATCTGCTGATAGACGCACAGTACGTACACACCCACACATACATGCAGTGTGATGGCTACTTCCAACAGTGCGAACTGCATGGACAATAATGCGAACCATTTTGGCTATTAATTATGAAGCATGTGGTCTTTGATGTCTCTCCTGTGGCACATCACACCATGGCTGTTCGTCATTTTCCTCCTGGAGTCAGGGAAGAGGCACTTCACTGCTGCCACAAATCACACGGTTTCCAAGTGTATTTTTCATTTCCTTCCGGTAATTTCTCCTCTTTTTTGTGAGGTTGTCTTATTGTCGTAAGTTCAAAGGTGTCACGTTTTGCGTACTGATCGAGTTCCATTGAATTGTCAATTTTGATGCAGAAATGGAACGCTGGAGAGAGGTAGGCAAAAAAGTGAGGCATTTGGCACGACGACAGTGCGAACACCTGCAGTAATCATGCACACACCTACGCACAGTGGGAAATTCTATTTTAGCCGGAGATTTTAATAGCGTAAATGGGCCACATGGCATATGGTGACTTCATTCTCCTTTCTTTTCTTCTTGCAGGTATGAATTAGTGACACGTTTTGATTACTTAAAAGGCACCGCTGGTCCAATCAAATGGGAGGAGTGGATGGAGGGATAGGCGGACAGTTCCGGGATGGAATGGTGCATGGCAGGATGGGTGGATCTATCCGGGTTAGACGAAGTGAGGAGAGCGTTAGACAAGAAGTTGATCACCACATAGGTTTTGGTCTTTTCTGTCATGCCTTGCCATTATTTACTGGCACTCACATTTAAAGGAATGCTTGTCAACTCATGCCCTAGTTTATCTGTGTACCTTCTGTCATCATGCCAGCATGCAACCTTTTAACTGGCGCAAATATTAACAAAAAGTGTTCCTCTATCGACAAATGGAGTTAAAATGAATGATTTTAGGAGGAACTTTCACAAAATACGGTCTTGAAATCATATGGCTACCAAATTTGAATGCGATTGACTGAAAGAGGGGAGAGAGGGGGGTTATAGAGGGGAATGTAGACGTGACCCTTTGGCTTCACCTTTCTTGAAATGTGAAACAAACCTCGATTCTCCACCAGCTCAAGTTGAAGGCCCTTTTTGGTCCAAATGGAAGGCCAAATGGACAAAAACACATTCGGTACCTTCCATTTCAGAACACCTCACCAAGTCATCCCAACCAGGTGGTTTAAAAATTACAAAAATTTTGGTGTGGGTGAAAAGAAAACTGCAACTTATGCATTCCCATATCCATTAAAAAGCATATTTTCCAAAAAAGAAAATAGGTTAGAAGGTGGTCACGTAGGAACGCCTCCTGTGGCCATGCCTGTTTGTCGACCTAATTACCCCTCCCCGGAGGAATAAGGGAGGTGGGCGGGGAAAAAGACAATTTTAAGATTTAAATTTAATTTGCAAAACACTATTTAAAATAGTGTAGCAAAATAATTTAGATAGATATTCTTCCGTAGAGACATTGAGAACGGATTAAAAATTTAGTGCAACTGGGAGGACTAGAGAAGGAAATGAAGAACGGTAGATGCATTGCCTAGGAAAATTAGGGGATTTCCTTTTTACCCGAATAAATGTAAATTATAAAATTCTAGCATGAAGGTTTTGATGCTCGCACTTTGGTAGGAAATAACATTCCAGACATGTTTCACGGCAGATGTAGCCACTTCAGACAGCTTAAGGTCATGCGACAGAAGTCTCAGCATTGAGGGAGCAGACTTGGCTACTAGTGCACCATAACTGTCTCATTGGAAAGCGATGTCTACAGTACTTACGTGGAGTGGCATAAATCAAGGTTGGACGCTGCAACGATCACGTTGGGCTTGCCAAATGACCGGCTGGTGGCTCGAAAAATGAAATCAGAACATCACTGCATGCTTGAGTCTTATTCCCCCGCTTGTTTAGAAGATGCAAGCCCTACGCTACTTAACGCTGCCAAAATGCTGGTTGATTGCACAACTGTCACGCACAGTCATCCGTGAGAGGCATCAAGGTTGTCTTAAAGACTAGGTATTACTCCACATCAGAATATTTCCACAACAGGTGATAACGAAAACAACAAAGAACGTAACCTTGACTTGCTAAATAGGGTGGTCTTACCTCGAAAGGAAAATGCCACCTGTAGTTAGCCGCCATGGGGTAGAATAAGGTTCCTTAAATTTTAGACCCCCTTCCACGTCTTGGTGACAACATATGTAAGACGTGCTCATTAAATACCACCGCCAAACTGTCTTCTCCATCCCCTGATAGAGCACCTTCAGCCAACTAATTCATTTTCCTTACCATAAAGACAGAGGTCAAGGGTTAAGCTTCCCTTTAAGCCTCCCCATCATGACACATGAAGGTGCTTCAACAAATCCGTCTGAAAAGGCAAGTTTTTCTACCAGTGGTCCAGAAAAAGAGGCACTTCAGATAAAGGCAACTTCAAAGTAATTTTTTGCAGCTAGCTGAAGCGTGAATCTCCAAGCGTTTCTTTTGCATGCCATAAAGGTCAAGATGTGCACATGATTAGCCCTTTGAAGGATTTAGATGTTTGTGGCAAGCTCTCGTTCAAACATTCCGAATAGTGAGCCGTTACCATCAGTTCAGCTTGCTGAATGATTATGGGAGAGTTCCTGGCGCAGTCACACATTCAATATGTTTAAAGGTTTGAAAGGGTCATTTGAACTGGAGTTTGGAAGCTTATAAAATACACTAGACCTGAGTCCATGACAAAAGAAGCCTTCAGCGAACGGAATGCTTGATTCTACCGAGAAGATCCGATCAGATCTACGGTTAGGCAATGAGGGGGATCACGATGAATTTAAAAAATATGGAATAGAGGTGTCAATTTTTATCAACATTTATCAGCACATCCATCTTGTTGGATAGGTGGTTCCTTCAAAAAGAGTGACTCTCAAGACTAGGAGAACTGCCTAGATCAATTTTGAGATAAAGCTGCCTGATATCGCCCTGGTCTCTGAACGAAGACATTTCCTAGAACTTTTTATACAACAAAGGAAGGTAAATTATCGGTAGATCCAGATGTGAATGAATGGTTGACTTACAAATGGCCACAAGTAGGAGGTCAAAAGACATGATTGCGGCTCCGCCATAGAACATAATGCGAAAACCCTTTCGGAAGTCCTCAAAATCCGCCACCCCGGTAGAGCTTGTGACAGCAGGTACCATCAAGGGAGGCAGACCGAAGCCCAATGCGCAGCCAACCTGAAAGAAGCGAAACAATGGCATCGTTGAATAAGTGGCGCGTGGTGATCTTCCAGGCTGAAATGTGGTTGTCTGTTAATTCAAAGTGACATTTTCGATTTTGCTTAAGGCGAAAATCACTATGATGATTGAAAATGGAATATAGTGTGGTGATGAGGTAGATGTAGATTCACCAAATTTGGCTGGTATCTTGATTAGTAGCGTGGGAAATGGTATGTGACACATACACTGACTTTTGGCGTTGAGACAACAGCCAGTGAGTGCTGTGTGCAGGATCGTCACAGTCATGTCACCCTTAATGGGGTGACTTAAGCAGCTTTTAGCAAAGGGCTCGCCTTTCACAGAATCAAGCGGAGGTATTAGTGAAGGAATGTTTGTTAACATCATACCTCACCGCTACTCCACCCTGCTATCATCAAAGTAAGCACACCGACTGTGATTTCATACCGTGAGTGCGACAAAAGAAAAGAAAAACGGAACTTCCTCAGCCCGCGTGAAGGAGATGGGGAATGAAGTGGCACTCCGAAGTGACCTCTAATGCCAATCAACTGGTGAGCAGTGCTGTCTCCTGTGACATCAATGTGACGAGTAGTCAAACGATGGAAATATATAGTACTTCGGGACTTAAATAAGTAAAGATTTTACATCGATGCACACATTGAATTTGATGACTTTCTACTGTGGACTCATGGGGCAGTGCCCATTGACATGATGTGAATTATGTGGACCAAAGTAGGTAGAGAGAAGCTGGATTCCGGTGGACCTTATCCACTCTGTCTCAGCCGATTACTAGTTGTTCATGTGCTCGTAGACAAGCTTATCACCCAACTTCCAGACAAAACGAAAAGACCAACTCTTGATGCAGTAAAGAATATGCCCAAGCCAAAGGGGAACTTTTTTATTTCTTTGGAAGCAGAAGCAACGAAACTACTTGCAGTAAGCACCGACATACATGTCACCTATCAGTTCACGCACCCTCAATCCAGGTAACTAGCACTGGATCGCGATGAAATGAAGTTCCATTCTATTCAGCTATTGAGAAACCCCCCTAAATCTCGGTTTGGATTGAACACTACTTGTATGTTGGTTGTTAGTAAAGATCTTGAGGTGGTGGTAATTTTGAAAAACGATGGATCGGAACCATTAAATGCCAAACGATCATATTCCTACAGATTTGAGCATAAAAAAGAAACAAAGCCTCATGAAATATCTACCAGTTCCAGAAACAGGTAACTCCGTATTTTCCTGTTACCTGCTTCACGATAAATGGGTCACAATAGTGTGCCACTCTAGTCACCAAGGCAACCAAGGACTCTCACTAAACCAATGCTCCCGTGACCTCCAAGGAAGTAAAGAGCGCTATAGGAAGGAAAATTCTGGGACAGAATTCTTTAGTATAATGGAGAGGGCTTCAATTTTTAAAACCTCTGCTAGAGCCAATTGGAAGAATCTCTCAAAAAGACCATTCATATGTGTCTAGCTAGTTGTCAAGATCGAAGAATATCCCTAATCGTGACGCTGATTCTGTAAGCCTTGAAAATGGCTTGTCATCAAAGACGTCGAAAATTTGGGATGAATTATGGAAAGAAGACTTCTTAGCAGATGGTTACTATTCTTAAAATCCAGAAAGTATTTTAATGGAAGAAATCTAGATGATATAAAGGTGATTGTTAAACTCCTCAATAACCATACAGTTCCCAACTCCTCCAATAGCTCCTCTAAGAGCAGAATGTCAGGTAGACTTGGAAAGAATATTTAATGAACAATAGATTGAGTGCCTAGCTGACCGCCACAGACTCTTGGTAGTTATAAGTTGAGTCTGAAAACAGCATGGTACACTCAGAGAGCGAGTCCTCTTCTAATTTTTAAACACCAATACCTCTGAGTAGTGCCATATTACCCAAACAAGAAAAGCAATTCAAACAAAGGTAGCAGGCTGTCCAAATAGGCATCGAAGTCACCGGAAGCTCCATTTAAAACACCCCAAACCAAGTTGACAGCAAAATGATAGGGTGTCTAGTCATCCTTTAAAATCACTAACGCCACCAGCTAAAGCAGGATTTTATCAAAAGGAACGACAAAATACCTTGCTATCTAGCAAAGACACCAGTGGATCTAATGAGAGTATTGCTTTAATGAAAATCAAGGGAAGATTCAAAAGGGGGACGTAAAATTCACAGGGAGACAACAAGATAATTGACAAGTCCCATCAAAGTTTTTAGTGATTAAATCAAAAGTCAAAAGACAACAAAGTTAACAGGATGTTTCACTAGCCTGGTTACCAAAAACGCCGATAGCAGTGGCCATTGCGAGTTCTGACTTGCTGAACCACGTGGCGGCGAGTTGAGCGGGCACTCCAAGGAGGAACACCTGGCCCAGTGCGCACACCAGCTGAGCCACCATGAGGAGGGGGAAGGAGGCGTTGGAGGCGGGAGAGGAAGTGGGTTGTGATAGCTCCATGGAAAGACATTTAATCCATGCACCCAGCATGTTCAGCGTCGCCCCGATTAGGATACTCACACGTAGACCGTAGTGGTTGAGCAACCAGGTAGCTGGGAAGATCATGGGAATATAGACCAGCATGTAGAGCATCGAGAGCCAGGCAATCGCCACGTCCTTGCCCTGTTGGTCACCTAGAGGATATCAAGTCTACTGGTTTATAAAAAAGGCAAATATAATCACACAGTCGAGTTAGGTGGCATACTTATAAATCAGAGAGTGGTCATATTTAACTACATGTTTTGGGATCATAATAAAGACAATCAGTTTAGCACACTTTATTTTCTGAACAAAATACTACACTTTGGAACTAAAACAATCCATTAATAAGCTACCAGAAAAGAAAACAAAACACCAATTCAAATGCTAACTAACGAAACGCAGATTTGGAAAGCTAAGATAGCTTGCAGTTCCTAATAATCAAATACTAATACACGGATGCACCATTAAATAGAACAATGAAATTTAAGAATTCATAATGCATTGTCATGGTTGAAGTATATGGGTATGTCCACTAAATATAATAACGGCAAATTGGTAGTTCCAGTGGATAATTAAAACACATTTATTATAAAAGTTCCAAAGCTCACTTACTCGGTAATGAGCTATTCCAGAAATAAACGGCACTTGGGAGCACAATATTAATGTGTAACCACTGAAATGCATTCAACATCGAAACAGAAGAAAATAAAAACAACATCAGCCATCTTTTCCTAAAGAGAACTGGTTCGAAGCTATCAGCATCGGCTTGGCGCTTTTGGTTCTCGACTGAAGAGTCAGAGTCCATTTCTGATCATAAGGCAAATAACTCAAGCGCACACAATTTGAGTAAGGACTCCTGAAGTCCACAGCTACGAAACCCCGCGCACACAGCTCTAAATGGTTAAGGTTCCATTAATTGGAAAATTCAAACAAGGATCTCACCTTGAAACTTCTCTATAGCAAAAGCCCGTAGGCATAATAAAGTTGAGGATTATCGAGAAAATATAGAAACGCTTAACCCTTGGGTATAAAAGCATAAGGGGTTATGTATGGGACACCTAAAATATGGCACGTGAACATAACTTAATGGTAGAATAATGCTCAGAAGATAAATGCCAAAATGTTTTCTTATTATTGGATTAACAATTAAAATTTATTAATCAGTGACTAATCATTTTTTGGCCTTTTGGAATTTGCCACAATTTACATCTCCATGCACCATTTCCTGCATTAGACGCAAACAATGCTGTAATACTTATGCTGTTTTAATGTGCCTTTCAGGGAGGAGGCAAGCGGGAAATTCGAATCTCGTGACCGGATCGTCCTCTTCCTTACCTAGTGACTGCAGCTCCCCTCCTTCTTGAACATAGTATTTTCCCTCTCCATCTTGTCATCTTTGATAAATATGTCCAAAACGAATCAACCGGGCCTGTCTAAGAACTCTAGGAATAGGGAAGCGGAGACTGATGAGTCACGCTTCACAATGCAGTTAAAAATACCTAGCCATGTAAAAATCAAATAATTACGCCAGAACTCCAAATGATGTTCCTAATATTTTTGGCAAATTTTACACTGTCTACGCTCATGGCGCTTCGCCCCTTCCCTGCAGTCCTCGTAAGCCGTATTAGTGATGTTAAAGATTTTTTATTAACATTTGGCGACTAGAAGGTCGTAAACATGGCCTGATGGCCATGCAGTCGGAAGGCCGTATGATCTGCAGAGCCTTAAGAGGCTTTGTGCTTAAGCGCACATTGCAGCACAGCGCTACGAAATTACCACTTCTTTTTGACGCAGACACTTCCTTTTCGCCACCGTATTTAAAATAATCGAAGAAAAATGTTTGATGGCCGATATTTCTCAGTATTTATTGACATTAATAAGTCTCATGAGAAAATGAAAAATAAAATCAGTAGTTACTGCTTAGAGGAGCTCTTGAATTTCTTCCATGGGATATAGAGTTTCGCATGGCCTTTGTCAACTAAGTAAAATAAAACCAATTAAGTGATTGTGCACATAAAACAATTTCGTTTCTCCATAGATATCTTTAAAATGCTCAGCCCACTCACATCTTCTAGTAGAACATTTGCAAAAAATTCCTCGGGGCCACTAGCAACACTTGCCACAAAAGATTCCAAATCCTCCTCCACCTCTACGTTGGTATATTCATCGGGAATCTAAAATAAAGTGGGATAACTCTTTATTTTGAAGAAGAGCATACCTGTATTTTGTGTCCCACCAACTGTTCCACCTGTTTTTGCGTTATCTCCAACACCCGGGTAGCGGTATTCACCTGCCTTGAATTGTGTACCGACAGTTTATATTCTAGCAAAATGAGAAATAATGAGTTCATTGGAGAATAAGTTTCTAATTGAAAATCTGATTTGATGTGTGAGTGAATCTGCTAGATTGGCTTCCATTCATCCCTCCTTAAAATTGGGAATTGGCGACTTACTTTCCTCAGTAATGCAGAGCATCTGAAGTAACTTCCGCAGTGCTTCCCTTGTCTGCTGTAGGAATTGCGATGTGATGCGATCAACTTTTAAACGAGAAGCATAACATAAATAATTAGTAAAAAATGCACTTTAGAATTCGAAGGTGTCTAGGAATGTCGATTAGTGGAGACTTAATCCAGTTTTCTAGCACATTAACATACTTTAGGAAAAAATAGCGATAATAAACAATTTTGTTATGAGATCTATAAAACATGTAAAAACATAGTAGTCCAAATGAAATGGACTGCTCACCTTCCTTTTCAGAGTCCTCCTGACCATTCTTCATTGCAGTGCCTCTAACTTTGTTAAGAGCATTGACAGCAGTGCTGCGGACCTCCTGATACCGTTTTGTAAATGTCCTGATCTGCTCATTTTCAATTCTTAGCATCACCTCTAATGTGATGACGACTCCTGGAGGGGAGAGCGGGAAGAAGGATGTGGAGAGTGTATAGAAAAGTGAATTGTTGCCATGATCCTGGTAGATTAATGTTAGATCTCTCCCACTCACCATTAACATACGTTTCTCTGTCCGGTTTGAGGTAGTTGGATAGGGCTTTGTGCAACTGTTCTTCGGTTAGGCCATTTAGGACTACATAAATCAAACGATGGATGCTTAGTAGAATGTACAATTAATGCAGGCATCACTTACTTATTCGTCAGTAAGTAGTATTTGCCTCGACTAGTAATTTCGAAAGTCTTTGATCACAAACGTCGCTTTTAATGATTTAATTGGTGTTTCGGTAATTTATTTTTATGAGATTTAGGATTTCTTGACAGTAAAATTTGGTTTTCTCTTGTCATTTCACAGAGTTCGGAGAATTCGCTTGACTCTGTCACAATCCAGTTTGCCCATTACTGAATTTCCTGAGGATTCCTGTTTGCAGTCGGCACCTCTTTTTACTTTGAATGTCGAAATGAGATCGGATGAGGTATAGTCTGATTTATTTGGACCTTATCTGTCTACTGTCTGGCCTAAGATAGACAAGATATGTGTCCTCTAAGGGTACGCTGAAAAGTAGACGAAACCGATGAGGAAGTCGTTCGGTTTGAGGCCAAGAAGGGTCAGCAAAAATATAACAATAAACCAATATTTGTATCACCATTTTAACCCAAAATGTTTACAGGGAGTTAGTGACATTCTTCATACGGTTTCTAGAATGCATTCAACACTCCTCTCCGTGGATTTTAAACACCGGTCCTGGTGATTAAAGAGTGCGGCAATATTCTAATTATGGTAGTCCCTTTGGATCTTTACGCTGGTGGCGTTGAACCGTCTTGCACACATTTGAGCCTCTTGACATCAGCACACTTCAGTCCGCTTACAGTGAACCCATCTCCTCCTGCGCACTCCACAAATAGGAGTATCACATAGGTAGCAGTGATGCACAAATCAGTTTACAATAATTAAAATGCTTAATTTGTTGCTTAAGTGCGATATCTAAAAGCCACAGAAAGAAAAAACGGTATCCACTGTGGGGGGCTGAATCTGTGGAGAGACTCCCGGCAGGAGGGATGACAAAACGGCGTTGATACTTGACAGTTCTTCCAACCTTGAGTTCTGCTTAATAACCAACCACCTGGTGAGATCAGGTGGGGAATGAACTCACGGAGTCCATAAAACAAAAGCAACTTTAGTGGATCTGAAAGCAATTACCTGCGATGCCGATAATTTTAAACTGGATTCCCCCCTAGGTTGTGGTAATTTAGGAATGACCTCACCCTGTCAATAGACGTTGGCCATAGCACTTCTTTTATCAATCTAAAGGCTTTTGGCAAAGCCACTTGCAGGACTTATTAAGGCTTGAGTAAATAGTTAGGACCAAAATTTATCTACTTAAATAACTACTTAAGTAGTCGGTTCACAGGCTAACCAGGCAGATTGTCCTTGAACAAACTCTTGACGATAGTGTCGGAGGCGTGACCGCAGAGTTTGTCGGGGGAGCTGTCGTAAAACCACGGGCACTTTACCGCTCTGTAGAAACTGCATTTGAAAAGGAAAACATTCATACAAATATTAGCATCAAATTTTTGGTAGTAAAACCATCGAAAACTGCCATCTATGATCGTTCGCCTGGTTGTCCGGGCGTCTCTTTACACCTTGCAAGCTGTCGCTTTTGCTTATATTTTCGTCCGACTATTCGCCCACTTCAGACTCATCCAATTGGGTTCTACCCATTCTGCATCCATCTATCCGTCTCTCGTAGAGTTTTCATTCCTTCCTCCATTCGCCAAACTTCTTACTAAAGTACGAGGCGTATTTTCTAGCCATACCACCATCTTAAGACCCCATTCATACTTTTCTACGGGGTCACTTAGCAGCTGACTTAGCTCAAGATTAACAGCAATGACTCCCCAAATGACTGCCGGTTAATGGAAGAAAAACTTCCCGATTTACAATCCTGAACTCACATATCATGAGAACAGATACGACAGAGCATTTCACCGTTATACGCCTTGGTACAGCGTCTGCAAACTTCACGACGGCAGAGGCTGCAGGTCACGCGGGGATTGAGGAAGATTATGAATCGGCCTCTACATATGGTGCAGGCGTTAGCTGACCCTGGCAACGAAAGCGGTGCTTGACTGTCCTCCTGAAGTAGTCCGCTTCGAATTTTTCTTAAAGAACCATAAAAAAGAAACTTTGTAAGCCATTTTAACCCCCGATTACTCAAACTGCGTAGTGCCTTAATTCACTGGGGCTCTTGCATGATCAGCGTCGTTACTTAAATACCACTTAAGTAGCGTAAAGTGGACGAGGACTTTATCAAGTGTAAGCTAACTCTTTTAAAACTTATCCATTTTAGCCAAAAGCGTTTTCTAATTCCCGACAATTTTTTCCTCTTTGAGCTTAATGAACGTCGTAGTCTTTATGCCAATTAGATCACGGAAAATCAAAAAAGAAAACAAATTTCTAGAAAGATTTTTTAAGTCAATCAATTTTAATGCCGTTGTTTAAATAAAATTGGGGCAAAAATGAATCACTGATATAAGTTTTATTCTCTCATGCGAAACCCGTGAATTTTATAGCCTATAAAATAAGGCTTTTCTGCAGTTGGAATCGCAAATATTTTCAAGGGTGACACACCACCATCACACAATCTTTACTTCTTACCACAAATGGGAAACAGGCAGGGCCCATTTTACCAGCACTTTCCCATACCATTCGATAGCAGCTTCCATTAAAGTTTACCTTACCTGTTCATGCTCACCTCTAGACATAATATTTTCGGGGCACAAAGCTGATGCGTTGCCTACCTTTTTGCAATGCACGTAAAAAAGTTTTAAAAGGGGGATCCGTTTGACAGACCTCCCAGTTGGAGTGTTCGTTCAGTCTCTCATAGCAGGCTACTTGGCTCAACAGAGGTTGACGCCAATCGTCAAACTTAGCTTGCTGACGTGACGTGTAACGAAGTTGCAAGTAAACACGCCAAGTCAACTTCCACCTTCTCACCTCCTCCAAAATTCTGCAGTAGTGAAGGAAAGTAAATATCAGGCATTATGATTGTTCATTGCTTTAGCGATCCAACTCATGGAGAGTTGAATAAACCACTGCCCGTTAAAGAGTCAGGAAGGGATTCGTTGGGAAGAGATATTGAAAGGGAAGAGAAGGAAATTCCACTAGTTTGCTTTACCACACAAAAAAGAGCAACGGGCGCGGTGTTTTTTAACTTCTAGAGTGATCTTGGAATGTAACTTTTGCAGTTTGCCAATTTTCTGATTCATCACACGTGACACAGTTACTACTTGAGCACTTGACAAGGGTTAATGGTTCTGCCAGCTTGTAAAATGTGAAGTCAGCTTTTTTCGCCATGTCATTAAATGAATGTGCGAGCAAGTAAAGAGGGTCAAATCACGTTTTTTAACTTTTGTTTTCACTACTACCAGTGTTGAATGAGTAACGCTAGACGTGGACACGTGATGTGGATTTGATAATTCACTGAACAATTAAAAGTATGATGCATAGATAATAAATGGGAAGTAAAAAGATGATTGACAATTTTAGTAGCTGCTGTGCTGGCAGTGGAAAGGTGCATTGTAATTTTGAGAGGCAGCAGTGCCATCATTTTCCCTCCCTCCGAGTTGAGGCTAGTCACTGTTCGGCGATATGGACCTGTCAACAGACTCAAGCTTAAAACCTCTAAATGCAAGAAGTGAATGATTAATTGAGTCCAGGGATTTGTGCACCGTAATTTTTAACTATCTACTACACAACAAATCTAATGAAGTAAGCATTCAACAAATTTGTGGGTGGATCAACTCCCGTTATTCAAAGGCGGCAAAAAGAGTTTATTAGCGACGCTAATGAAACAAGTTATGATTATCATGTCTTCTTAAATGTTCGAGTGATAGAAAAAGTGCGATTTTAATGAAAGCTTGACCATAAGACGAAGCTTGGATACTGATTTAGTCGCTAGGTCATATGAGTGACACGTCAATCAATAAATCTATCACCTGTTGACCTCGTGACAAGCAGCTTGACTCTTATGGCTTGTGCATCCTTTGGAAAAGTGCCAGTACAAATTTTTTGCCTTCTGAAGCTGACAGGATGTATGATCCTATACCCACGAATCGAATTAGAAAGAACAGTAAAATGGTTATTTTAACTACGGATAAGAAAAAAGAGAAATTTTCACTCTTACTTCAGTCGATACTTCTCCATACACCGAATTTCTAAATCTCGCTTTACCACCGTGAGTATCGCTTCACGCTCCTCCTCGCTGAAGCGACCCAGATTGACATCTAGGGCGGGGTTTGCATTGGCGTCCAGAGGTGGCACTAGGCTGCCGTTTTGTTGTGGTCCTTTGTTCTTAGACTGCCCTCTTGCTGCTCGCATTGGCTGCGTCTTCGCCTTTTGACAAAAGAGGGAATAGGTAAATTCATGTGAAAGGGAGGATTTACGTGGTGACCCATCCACTGGATCAAGCGCCGTGACATCCAGCCAAGTGATAGGACAATCCCTCAACCCTGTTAGTCCTTGGTATCTTAAATGTATCTATCAGTCCTTTTTATGTAATTAATTAAAGTATTTACAACTAACTCCTTAAAATTGTGTCTGAGGTTCACAAAAAATTGTAAGTAGTGGTGAGGGTGTCTCAGCATATGCCGAAGTAGCCGAAGACTGCCTCAACTCATTAGGCCGAATTTTCTCCCACGGGCTGGGTTGATCTAAGGTGTGGTGAAACGCGCGTTTGGTAAACAAGTATCACCCCTACATCTTCGCTAGGAAGCAGAAAATAAACAGTTTTGTTTTCTTGATTTGATGAAGCAGTACACTCCTCTGGCAATTCATTTGTGCCTTTACAGTAGGGCGGGGCTGGGAAATGACAACCCGATGTGTAGTAAATGGCACGCCTAGGTCAGGCTATCAATCTACTGCGCGAGGTGAATTCTACGAGAGCGAATGAGACACACCATTCACGAGGACCAGGTTATGCAAAGGCTGAAAATCCAGCACTATTTGCTAAATAAGCGTAAAAGTGGTTTTGGTTACATTGTTGAAATAAGTAAATTTTGTCACTTGTGTCAAAATAAGGTCAAGTCTGCGTAAAAACAAAGCATTTTGCGAAAAGCGGGATAAGCGGTTAACTACGACCGGCTATACTGGTTAGCAGTGCCCTAAGACGAGTTTTGATTGAGCAGTGGTGGTTTTTGATTATGGAAATCTTCTAAGTAGTAATAATATCTTAGCACTTTTAGAAATTCCTTTCAGAATTTACTGTTACTAGGAAATAGTTGTTAAGTACCATGAGTGACTAGAGCAGTCGAAGCATGAAGAACTATTCACGTGTTTGGCAGAATAAAAATAACAAATTAGGATTAAAATATATAAATAAACAAACAAGGAAAATGCAAACCTCTACTAACTCAACGTCTCAGTTGAAGGCATGAGTAAAGTGGGGCTTGAGAGGCTCTTCTTTAAAGTGGCCTTGAAACCACACACACGCACAACCACTGCGCTAAGACCGCATCGCCAAGCCAACCAATTTCCGTGCACCCGCCAGCCACAAAGTCAGGGTTGGAGGTGGCACAAGTAAGCACACATGAGTGAGAAGAGCCGAGTGTTTTTTGGGTGATTGGATGTGGGAGCCAACATGTTAGAGGCTAACTAGCAGTGAAGAATTCAGGAAGGAGGTGACTGGCTAGGCATCCCCCTTGCAAATGTCATCGCCTTCTGTATAGACTCGTGCCAAAATCACCAAAAATAGGTTTGACTTAATAACAGCATTAAAAAACTACCCTTTTAACAAGTTGTTCGTAATAAAAATTATGCATTAGAGATGAATGTAATGAATGCAATTTTGAAAAATATGGGGGCGATTTTGCATCAGCCATGTTTGTGCATTATCACCTTATATGCCTAGCCGAAATTACAGTAATTGTTTAATTTCTACTAACACAATGAACTTCTCACAAAAATGCAAGTTAAATACGTTTTATTGGGAAAAATGAAGGTCGTAGCTATGGTAGCGGACTTCATTTTGGGCTTTCGGTGTCTATACAGAGAGATATTGATTTTCTCCTCTTGGGGAGGTGATCGATACGCTGTGTGAGTCAGAGGCGTAGGCATCGCTTGCTCATGCCATGGGGCTGACTGGATGCATGGACCTCAAGCTATAAGCAGCCTTTTTTGGTATACTTCTTTGTAAACAACATATTTCGCAGGTATTTATGTAGTTTAGTAGTCGCGACTGCCTACTTCGTCATTTTGTACTTTGATCGCCTGTTTACCTCTGTGTTTTGGTAGGCGGGTACCTAAGTCTCTGCGGTCTGTACTCCCTCTCACCAGTATGGAACCAGGGCCATGCCAATTGCCTATAAGCCGTACTACAGGTTAGAAATGCACTTTCTGTTGGAGTACTATGACTTCCTGTGGCCTCGAGGAAGACTTGGAACGGACCAGGACTCGGCAGGCTCATTTGTACATGTTTGGAATGCATGAAAGGACTTTATTAAAGATAAGTAAAGGGCACTATCAAGGTACAAACAGTGCCTACAACTGAGCACCAGGCCCATGCGGTGATGTTTCAAACGTTTTTTTTTTAAATCTACTTGTAACTCTGGCTAGAATGTGTGAACGTCGTGGGGTGGAAATGCGCAATGTTGATGCCTCTTGTATTTCGTTGTTTGTAGTGATGGCTGAAAGTGCGCATTCCCAAATCCATCACTCAAAGTATATGAAAAGCAGTCTCATGAATGAAGGCATCGCGAGTTCATCTGCGTTTATTCTGTCATCGAAGGGAGCAAATAAAAATTGCAACCATTGAATGCAATGGCATTTACCAGTACCTACGCATGCTTCCAAATGCTACAGGGAAAAGCATAAAGACGGTTTGGTTTAGCCTGTAGGCACAAGAAGTGAATGCAATTGACGGTTGCCCAAATTTGTTTTAAATCACTCGTTCAAGGGCAAGCTTTTTGCATACATAAATAACTACTTAAATAACAGGTAAGCATTTCTTGGGAAAGTGCAATTCTTAGGGAAAAATTGACCATTGTGTTTCAGATGCTTTGCTGTTTCAGTAATGAGGTCGATGTAATACTTTGATTATTTGTTTAACTCTTATTTTGGCTTCAAGGACACATGAGGCTTCGCATTATACTCCCGCCCAGCGGCATGAGCTATGAGCCTCCAAATTCAGCTCGTCCGTAAATCGGTTATATATATTCTGCCCAAATATTATGCTTTTCCTCGTCTTCAGGGGAGGCTCTTGGCAACTGCTTATGCTGAGGATGGGAGAATCTGTGAAGACGCCTAACTGAGGGATTGAAAATGGCGCCTACCTTCAGCAAATACCCTGGTTCCGTATTTTGTAGGGATACCATTAAAAATTGGAAGGACATCAGTCATAAACCATCTCAAAAATCCCACTACGGAGCTGTCTACGGTGTCTGTATAAAAATGCGAATTAGGTGAACTCGCAATACCTCTTCCACCTCCCTACTAGCTGGTTAGAACCCAGCTGGATATGTCTGGGCAACGCTGAGGTGAGGATAAGGTGGCAAGGAGGAATGGACGCAATATCTTATCTCCACAAATCTGTTGTTATGTGACACCTTTTTGTCTAGCGCTCTTACGAATAGCAATTGACCTGCTTAAGGGTCAGCACATTTTATCCTCCTGCTAAGCAGTTCTCAAGCAGGACGAAAGTGCAGATCTAGTAGAAATGCCAAGAGGGATCAGTGACGGGGTAGTCAGGTATCTTTGCAGGTGCAGGGGCGTTTGATGTGTGGGTGTTTTTATACAGCATCGTCCAAATACACTGCGCAACTGATCGATCCGTCTGCTGACTAAAAAAAAAAACAAAATGCATTATTTCTCATATTCGGAACATTCTACACCCAAAACAATAAAGGAAATTGCTTCAGACTCACATAATTCGTTTGCGATATGATTTGCACTAGATTTCTACCATAAATTGGTAGAGGCAGGCAGGAGATGTATGTGACGTTGGTGAGTAGTGCAGTAATGCATCTATTTTTGCTAAAACACGGTTCAGTGGTCAAACTGCTTATATTAAAAATTCTGCACCAGGAATTAAAGCTTCTGGCCATGAAGTACTGGCAAGAGGGAAATTGCATTTTTTGGATCGTAGAAATGGAATTTTTTGTTTTTCGCAAACCACTGCTGAGTGACGTAAAATTCTGGCGATGCCGGATGAATATAATGACAGAATAAAATAGAAAAATCGTGGAATACATAAGCCGTGACCTAACACTTTGTTTAAATGTGTATTAGGCTCAGCAGTCGGTAGCCTACGGAGCTTGTGCTTCTAACGTGCAGTCTGGCCTTAGGGACAATAAAGTGGTTTCCGTCCTTATATAACCATACTTATTCCGTATTTAAAAGAGAAATGCGCGAGAAATGCCAGTCTAGTGTGTGCGGCTGTGGGTGATGCACTTGCGGCCGTAAGAGCAACATTGTTGAAATCTTATTGCTTTCTAAAAAATCCGGTTTGATTACAACTTGGATATGAGAAGCCTATTGCTGCAGAACCTTGTTCTATCCTCCTAATTGCGGGAAAGATAGTTATTAATCAAATGGCAAAATTTAGCATATAGACGCTGGACATCTGCGTAGGGGCAAGTTTGATCCGGACAAAACATATCCGGAATTTAGAGGGGTGGGTACATTTATAAAAACTTTAAGCCTGGTGTTTCCTGTAACGACTGTGTGCCTATTTTATATGTAAGCAACGATAAATGACTTGATCGTAGCCATAGTAGCTCATTTTAGATAAAAACTGCATTATCAAATTATTCATTATTTTTCAGAGGTTGTTAAGCAGTAGCTGGATATATTCTGTGCATGATAGATGAAAGTGGCGCGAAATTAAAAGCAAATGCCAATCTTAACTATAAAGGCGGCGATCGCAACTATAGTGTTTAGTTTTAACAAGGTGAGCACACGGCGCCATTTTGCTGATAGGTGCTGGCTCCAGGTGCGTTCTGGAATCTTCTGGCGTCCCCTGGTTTTTCCTGCTGCCTCACGCTGCGCCACACTTTAGTACCACTTATTTCTAGGTTGATTTAGGTAGTATTTGCTTGGCATCGTGTTTGTTATCAAGGATTCTCGGAAGCTTTCAAAGTCTGGCTAAGCGTTTACTTGGTCAAAGTTGACCCATTTTACTACAGCCATTTTTGTCTCTGATTTTCGATTGTGGTCCTTGTAATTATGTTTGATGAGTGCCAACTTTTCTATCTTAGCATGATGCATTATGTTAGCTTACTTTAATAATTTCGATTTACCATTTTCTTTTTAATGACCTTTGCAGTTCTTTATAACATGAATTTTGCCGCCAAACTTTGTCAATGCAACGGACGTCTCTTTTCCGGGGTTACCAGTCTTCGCTTACAAACTCTAACTCTTCGTGAGTTCAGTTCAGGCAATTCGTTGCGAACTTCAATGCGCCATCGAATGGACCGTATTCGTCGTCAGGTAGAAAATCGCACTCCTTTCACCCGCACGGAGACAGTTTGTAAGTTAGAGCTGACCCTTTTTGTATGCCGATTTTGCTAGGTCTTGATCTTATATAAGTTGTTCATCTCTACTCTTCCGTAGTTACCTCGTTCATAGCATTACCTAAGTTCATGATCATTATTATAAAGGTGAATCTTTGGAAATGTTTGCTACGTCATGTGATGTGAAGAAAGATCATTTTTCGGCGTCACTTTTACCTGTGTTGATTCTAGTCTATCCAGCCCCTGTCAATTACCTGATGTGTTTGAAGTGCACCCACTTTATTTTTGTCAATTTGTTGTCCTCTCAAAAATCGTCAGCCGCTTCCGCATCCATAAGTTAACGAATACTTTTCGTGTATTTAGCCTTGACCCTGGGTCTTTCTTTGCAGCCCTGGATGGTAACCGCGCGATAATTCTGGGCGGTGCGGCACTGGGTCTGGGCGGTCTCTGCCTCTACGGGATTTACGGAGCGAATGCGGGAGCCGACAGCCTCTCGGTGCTGGATAGAGCAGCGGTTTGGCCGGACTATGTGCGTCAGCGTATCCACTCTACCTACGCTTACCTGGCGGGCGGAGCGGCTGTTGCCGCCGCCTCCGCTACTGCTCTCGCCCGCTCGCCCGCCTTTGTCCGCGCTATGGCCGGTGGTGGCATCCTCGCCCCACTGGCAATGCTGGCTGCAAGCATCGGTGCCGGTGTTGTTTGTCAGGTTTGTGGTGCCTTTTTCTTTGATTTCCTTGGCTTTGGCGTCTGGTTACGTTGTTATCTTAATATTCATTTCTTATTAAAGAATCTTAACCTTTTAATCCAGGAAGTGGTCATTTTTCCTGGTTACTGCGTTGCATTCCGAATGGTTTTTCATTTTATATTTCATTTACTCCCATTTTTTTGCCTATCACATTATATTAGGTTAGTGGCTGCGAACTCTCTTGTCTGAAACTGGAACTTCATATTATTATTCAAGTTTCTTTTAGTTGAACAATAGTGAGGTATGCCAGTTTTTGGATCCTAGTTCAGGACTTTTTTTTATTCAAAATATTGCCGAATTTGCATCGTGGAGGAGCTGGGTGCATGACCGAATCAAATGAACAGTCGCGTGGCATGATTTAAGTTGTTTTAATAGATTATGACAATTAAATGTTTGGCGGCTTAATAATTACACTAATTCAAACATACGTACATGTGCCATACTAGTGTGATGCCAAAAGATCTTGGTGATTCGTTGCAGCAATATTCTAAGTAGCTCCTTTTTACGAACAAATTCCCCCATTCTATCACGACTATGCTAAACTCGAGATTGAGGGATGCTGCTAGGGTCAGTGGGATTTCGATGGTTCTTCTGTGGGTTTTCCATTGGTAACCACTGCCACATTTAAAGCAGACCGTAAATCGACTTCCGTGAGTGGTATCGCACTTGTATGTAAGTTATATGATAGCTGAATTACTGTCTTACGGAAGGTCAGAGGGACAAATAGCTTTACATTTCACCAATGATGTATTTTTGCCCGACATGAGGGCTTTAATGTCACATAATACCATGTAAGGAAAGAAGGCGCTTCTGCTACCCTTATAGATGGTGCCTTACCCCGCAGACGGCAGCAAGTTCAACGTAAAGCATTTGGCATGGCTGCTTTACGCGGTAAGCATGGGTGGTGTTGTCGCCCCCATCTGTCTGCTCGGCGGGCCTATCTTGACTCGTGCCGCAGTCTACACCGGTGGCATCGTCGGTGGTCTTTCTGTTGTTGCCATCTCCGCGCCATCCGATCGCTTTCTGCGCTGGGGCGGACCTCTCGCAATCGGTCTCGGGGTAGTTTTTGTCTCCTCCCTCGGTGAGATATTTCCTCTCCCTTCTAATGTGCTGTTACGTGTCTGCTTTAGCGTTTCTCTCATTTCTCGTCAATCAGTTTTTTTGTTCACACTGCTTCTCTTCGCTCAGGAGAATGTGTACCCTTCTTCCCATTTTTTAATCCTCTGCTAAATCGAGAATCCGCCGCATGGAAATTCATTTCATGTACTGGAAGCTCTCGCTGGAAGACATTTTCGACTTGTTTTTCATTAAAATTCTCCAAATAATCAATTATGTAAGACTTTTACCTGTGGTGCCTATCGTATGGTGGTCAATCTGTCCGCCTAAACCCAAGCCGTTGAATTATTAGAGAAGTCTATTCCACCGCTAGCATCATTGTAACAATTGAGTTGCACAAATCATGCACAACGGTTGAGAGATTGATAGCACAACCCACATGAGTATGATCCCGTGTCATTGTCGGGGAAGGCCCGCTCAGTCAAGGGAAGTATTGCGCCATAATCCACTGGTGGCCCTTTTTGATAAGCCTGCATTTAAATTATTTCATTTTTAACCGAGTACTTGTAGCTTTTATTGTCGGATTTCATAGGCGCACCAATGCCCATGGGCACGAATATCATAATCGGTCTTAAATATTCAGGGCATTTTTTTAATGCTCTCTGGTACATGTTCAAATAATAGGCGGGTTCTTGTCACGCCTACTTTTATAAATGGCAATCCGATATTCAAAGAGCGAATGGCGGAATGTCTCTAAGACAATGCTCCGCTATTATTCAGTTGGATAAATGTTTTTGAATGTTCCTCGGTTGTCTCTCAACTACTCTTTGAATAGCCTCGTGATTTTATTAGCCTTCGTCCTCTTTAAATGTCACTCTGAAATGGTAAGGTGAAGAAAGTGAGAGGGATTAATGGTGTTTACCTTATAGGCAGCATGTTCTTATCACCTATGGGTCGACTGGGCGCGGGCCTCTACAGCATCAGTCTTTACGGCGGTCTGATCCTCTTCTCCTGCTTCCTCCTCTACGATACTCAAATGGTTGTCCACCGCGCCGAACAGCATCCACCACCACCCTCTCGTTCCCTCTATTCTGCTGGGCCCGCCTTCCCCATGGTCGTTCGGTCCTTTGACCCCATTAACAAGTGAGTTTGGGCGTATTGTGACTAGCCATCCCCCTTCTTCTTTACTTTGATTTTGCTACCATCATCTTTGTTCTCATTTATGATCGAAATTGAGATAGTTGCCAAATGACTGACCGATGGATTTTAGCGGGATTGCTTACTGTTTACTTGAACAAAGCACGTCGTTTTCAGAACTGAAAATTGACAAGGTAGGTAGGATGTGAAAAGAGTACCCTTTAATAACTTAAATTTATTGCCTTGAAGTGGACTTAATTGTTCATTTAGAACTAGATAGTGGTCTTAACAACGTCTTATTTATTAATAGGTCTCACACCAAAATAATTTACTTTGTTGTCGCATTGGGTCAAATCAATGTCACCACGTGACATGCGAGTCATTTACAGTATGCATGCACCCACGGCGCAAGGATAACGAGTCACATGCTGGCTTTAGCAAGTTGGAAAAGTCGTCTCCATTTGCTAAGGTAAAAAGGGTTAACTAAAGGATAATTTTGGAATAGATAGTTTTACGGAGTCAATTTCGACCCAAATGGATGGTCGGAGTCATTAAATTACATGAACTTGTCGTTTTAAAAGGCATACCATGGGTTGCACTAATTGACCCTCTTGTTATTCTGTTTTCAGTTCCATTAAGATCCTCCTGGATACCCTCAACATTTTCGTACGGATGGTTGCCATTTTCGCTGGCGGTGGTCAGCGGAGAAAGTGAAGAGGAGCGGGGGACAATACCCCCACCTACAGCTATTGTGAACTCTCCGCAATTACTCAGACCCTTTTTCGAAGCTAACTTTTTCCACCGCAGGGAGCTTTCGCTTCTTGCTCTTTACGACACGGTGGAGGCCATTTCGACCACAGCTGTACCCGTCACTCGTATTGTCATTCGCTTAATAAATTCGCCATATAGGAATGACTTTCCTGCTATGATTAAGTCTGCCTTGGCAACCTGTACCACAGTACTCCTCCCCCGGGGTATTGTGTCTGCTAGAACGAAGCTCGGTGGAGTTTTGCATTAGGCGGTGAAATACATGAGGCGCACAGGAGGACCTATAAGTGTGGTAGTGCATTGTTTTGTATTGAAGATTTGGGAGGAGTTTTGAGTAGAGTAATGGAATGATAGGTGGTGATGGGAGAGCTCTGACTGTACCATCGTCGTCACAGCGTGGACGTTAAAGGGATTGGAAAGTGCCAGGTCTAGGCCCTAAGGGCTTGATCAGTGCAAAGTAGCAACCTCAGTACGGAAGATTTAAACCGCAACCTTCAGGATGTCCAACCTCCGAGTATGATTAAAAAAGGTAGGGGGATGCCACCACTGCAATAAGACTACCTTACTGAGCGGTGTGTGCTCACATGCAGTCACACAACTGCGCACAGGGATCGCAAGCAAGGTAATCGACACCCTGGTCCGATGCTAAGAGTGAAGTCATATGACACCCTCAGAAAGGCCTCATTGAAACGCATGGCGGCCTCAGATAGTACACGACTCCGAGGACTCTCACTAGTCGTCAAACTTGGTGATCGAAATCAACCCCATCCACTAGGACATATTCGGAACCTGATAGGATCGGTGAAAATTGAGGACTCCCTTCTTTGATAGAGCAATTAAATTTTGCCCTCCTTGCTTCCAAACAAGGGAGCTACCTTGTCTTCTAAACATCACGACAGCATCCTGGAAGGGATGACGAAAATGGTCTCTAGCGCTCACGATTGCTTATTCGCCTCTACAGTGCATCGAGTGTCGCCATTTGTTTCACTAACTTATGCATGTCAATGGCCTCCTTGCCACCCTTAAATTCCGGCACACACGGATGGATGCAATACAGGCACAAATAAATACATTAACGTACTTGAGATCACGTCGCGTCACCAAATTATTGTGATTCGGCAAACTGCTTAATACGGAGTTCTGGAGGCCTAGGCTTGACAACACCAGTTCTAAAATTGTTTGTCTCAAGTGCAGGAAAAATAAATCACGCTTGACTTCGAAGGCAATGAGTGTGGAAAATTTGAACGTATCCAAGTCAGTAGATGAACGTAATTGTTGCGTAAATAGTAATCGAAATGAACCTACGAAAAATGGTAAGAACATTTAGATATTCGGGGCATAAAGAAAAATCACAAAAATGGTGTCAACCCCACTCAGAAAAAAAATTAGTAAGACAAGCCTCAAGAGTGAAGACTATCCAAAAGTACTGCAACTGGTTCCTTATTTGGCTCTTCTTCTCTGGCCTTCAAACCCCTCGAACAGGCTAGTTCGGCAAAGGAATGTTCATTTGCAGGAGGTAGTAGGAAAGAGCACAGCTTCAGGAGAATCTGTGTTCTGAAATCTCTTCTGCATCGAGAAATTTTGAAGAGCCCTTTGATATCAAAACCTTGATCATCCACGTTTCTAGCCTAAAAGGCAATTGTAACGGCATAAGCATTGCAGTGTTTGCAAGCGATTTGTTTTGTAAATGCAAAATGGGAGTAGTCCAGATGACACAAATAACACGTGCAATAATTTTTGAACAAAGTCGACCATTTAACTAATCTGCTGTTGAAAACATGGTCCTTATTTCTGGCCATTTATCGACATAGAAAATCAAATGTTTGTTTACTAAATCACAAATAAGTGCAACAGTGCTCATCTTGTTAAATTCGCATAACAGTGAAGTTTATAAATCAGATATTAAAATTTGTGAAACACTAAACCAATAAGGTTTATGCAACTTCGTGCCTGTTTATAACAAGACTTGACTCGGGTAGTCATTTCAGTGTTGGTAACGTCTTCATTTTTAACCAACTTGCCTTATTACATCAGCTATTTATTTGAAATTTCAGGAATTGTTTTGATATTTATTAGGACACTGGATCGCTGGCTTTTTATGTGACATTTATCCGTGATAATGGTTCGCTTGTTTGATGTCAACCAAAGTATTTAATATAGGGAACAGATGTCACGTCGATCCAATTCAAAAATGCGTTAAACGTACTACGCAGTTGTATAATCTGCTCATTTTAATACGCATTTGCTGCTTAAAAACCTCGTAAACTTTTTAAGTTATTCCCTGCCCCACCGCTTAGAATTTTAACCACATTTAAATATGACTCACTTTCGTCCCTTCCAGACCTTATCGAAATGCTTGTTCGGCTAGTTAATGCTGTGTTGCAGCGTTTTCTTGGTCAGTACGTGGAAAACCTCGACACCGAGCGCCTTTCTTACAGCCTCGGTTACTCTGGCAACGTAGCTCTGACTGATCTTCATCTCAAAGCCGATGCTTTCAGTCGCATTTTGGGTCTTCCACTCCGTTTGAAGTCTGGCCTCATCGCGCGTGTCCAACTGAGCATCCCTTTAACCCAGTTGAGATCACAACCCTGGTGCATCACTATCGAGGATGCTGAACTCGTTATTTACCCGAGTAACAACGATGACATTGACACTAATTCTGCTCCCTCCGACGCCACCATCACTTCCACCGGTGCCAATACGGACGTTAGTATTATTGAAGAATCCCGAAAAGCTTACCTGGACCGCCTGGAATCCCGTTGGTGGCAGGTGGTACGAGAGGGCGGCCTCGTGGATGCTGTCGCCACCACCTCCCCCACCGACTCCTCCTGGTGGTCTTACGGTGTTTCCCTCATTTATGGCATCGTCAGCAACCTCCATGTCGAAATCCGCAACGTTCACTTTTCCTTCATTGACGAGAATGGCCTGATAGGGGAACACTTTACTTGGGGTATTCGTCTTGAGCGGATGACCGTTCAGGCCACCGATGAGAGCTGGGTATGTATCTTCGTTAAAGTTTTGATAGCCTTCTTCCCTAGAATCCTACAGGGCGTTCTTCAAATCAGCAAATCGAGTTCAAATCCATCGACATTGTTGGGTTCTCCGTTTACTACGTGGAAGAAGGAAAGATAAAACAACACTACCTCATTCCACCCAGCCAATTTTCGGTGCATCTGTTGCGTCGGACGACACCTGAACTTTTGACTAGCGAGTCCACACCTCGTATCGAGATGGAAGCTAAGTTGACCTCCTTGGACGTGGATGTCTCACAAGGCGTACTCGCCTACTCACATCGGTTGATGGATTTCTTTAAACGACAGTCGACACCTCCGCATCGTCCGCTTGCGCGGCCTCTAAAACAGTAGGTGCCTTTCCTCTACTTAGGCGTCTAATCTGTGTTTCGTTCTGCTTCCTTTTCTAGACCTGCCGCGTGGTGGAGATACGCTGTTGGCGAGGTAGTGCCCACTTTGCGACACCACCATCGGGGATGTCGATCGGCGGATTTGATGCTTCAGCAGTTGGCGGAAGCTGCAGCTCTCACAAATCGATACGTGCGTGCGTATGAGACGCACCTGCTGCGGGGACTTGGTCTTGACGGTGATGATGATTTTGAAGAAATTGCGAACCATGAAGCCCTTGAGGAGACTATGTCTCTTGATCGCGTAATCCTTCTGCGACAGGTTGCCATGCGACGCGCAGCAAGGGTACTAAGGCAACAGAAACCCCTGGTGGTTAGTTCGACCGCTGTCGTTAATATTTGTGTTCTAGGGTGATATTAGTAGCAGCATAGGGTGTTGTGATATGATCATTCCTTTTTACTATTGCTAGAAAGAACTGAGCGCATTTAGAATGTTAGAATTTATAGGATCTGACGGCTAGCCCATAGGACGATAGGTCATTTCACTAGCTGTTTTTGAAGACAACAGAAACTGCTTGGGTTCCGCTGGTAATATACTTGACAGTGTGATATTTTGCGGTTTCACAGGTGAAACGACACCTTGGCTCTTTTTGCGTAAATTTTATGACGCTTGAAAATGAAAGTATGCTTTCTATGGAATTGTGCTGATGACACATCTTTGCAATACCTAAAAAATTGAGAGGCTTTGAGTTATGGAGGATGGCTTAGTAACGGAAAAATTCACGGATCTGATCTCTTTACTAGAACATATATGGAACAGTTTAATTTTTTTTTGGGTCGAATCACGAAGCACTATAGCCATATCATTTAAGTTGAAATTGCAATAGTTTTATGGAAGACAGAAGAATAATATAGTAATTGACTAAAATCAGTTAATGTATCCCTCATTGTCTCATTTTATTTCCTGCAACAAACCACAACTAGTCTCTTATGGTCTCGATATTTCAGTGATTAGCGATATAAATTCAGCCTTTACTCGGTCCTTATGCAACAATCTTTATTGAACCACTAATGGTATCCCTAGGTTGTGTTTTATTTCCTCAACCTCTTATTCACTTAGATCGTGCTTGACAGAATGGTCACCTGATTTTTTCGACAAGGCGAAGATCTCTGTTGGCTAAATTTTTAACGAAACTAGATTCTTCCTCTTGGCTATTTTTGCACGCTTTTAAGACCAAAGCCTCTGGTAAAACCCGTAATTTACCTACACATTATTTAAGTAAAACTCAAGTCGATATCCGGTGTCTATCTACTACTGGTCTAAGTACATAATGTGTCTGCCCTTTCTATTCTATTTGTGACGTTAAAAGTACCACCCAGTTGTACTCACACAGTCTTATTTTGCCACCCATTATTGCTAGTTTGATTTTGATTGCCAAAATGTTATAGGCTAAAGACAAACTGCTCCCTTTCCTCCATTCTTCTAAGATGCTTCACTCAGGGCCGCAGAATTACTTAAATCGCCTACTCTATGCTCTTGTGTTCTATTGTTTGTAAAAACTTTATATACTTTGAGGCCATAATTTTAAGGGAGTAAAGTCTCGAGAGATGAGACCTGGAAGACAATCGTCCTTGGAGGAGTTCTGTGATGTTTCTTGCCTCATTTTCTAGAATCCAATTCACTTCCCCTAGTGTGAACGGTATACGTCGCCGAATACTTTTCCTCTTCTAATTAATCTGAAGCGATTATTTTCGGATTAAAAAGCTTTCCCACTGTATCGCGAGTAAGAAGACCTAGGGTAGTAATTATTTCAGATCATAATATAAGACTAGTAACTCGTCTGCACCATTAGCAACTGACGAAAGCTCCAAAATGTTTGGAAGACCGAGATTCGTCACCCGGGACGTATAAAGTCTGCTTTATCTACCAAGCAACAAGAAATTTTTCATTTCAACCTCTCTCTGCAGTTGCTTGTAGTGGTTGTTTCATGGAGATCAATCTAGATGGTTGTTTCATTACTGGCAACGTTGCAACTTGGTTGTTATCACAGACTGACCGGTCACTTCATGGATAACGTCAATGCAGCGCTGGAGCTTGAGGCCGGATTTGTTTCATTGCTGTTTTGATCTCGTCACCCTTTTCTAAAAATTGATTCACCAAGACAACTTCACTTCTGACTGATACAATGCAAAACTTTTAACGACAAGACCACGCCGGTCTATTTCAGGTGATGCAATGTGCTGTAATAGTAACACCAAAGGCTCACTAGTTTGCCTTATTAGGGTTTCTCCATTGCAGATCCCTCAGTTTTGTTTGTCAATTGTGAAATGAAGTGCTTTGAACCGCTAGCATTTTGTGTGTGGACTCTGTTTTTTTTGCTTAATTTGGCTTGTCTATTCACCTCGTTGGATGTTTTTCGTTCGAAAAGAATCCGTCGAATTGATCTTAGATTTCGATTTCATTTCCTCCATTCAGTCTGTTCATTTCAGAACTAGAGGGTGGCTCTAACTACCGGTATTTTGTTCTCAGATTGTTTCATCACTTATTCTAACTTAGCTATTGTATTAAATGTCTGGGAAAGGTAATCCGCCTTGGCCCCATCAGACGTTAGTATGTGGCGGTGCTAAACTATTTTCCGTCTTGCTACAAAGAACGGAGGCTTCCCCTCCCCTCATGCATTAATTATAACACATTTAGCATTTCTGCGGTACCGATTTGTACCAAATAATCTACTGTAGTTGCGGTGGTAATGACTGACACTGATTAGGCTCCAAAATTGAACCGCTTCTTCAGAATAACATTTTCCGTCTCTCCGTTTCTTAAATAAAGCATCGAGTTTAACCATTGGCGTCCTCATACATCACGTACTTCATTGATGTAGCCAATTTCTTCTGCAACTCGACTGAAGGGAATTATGATGTATCAGTAAGGTAATCGACTTCCTCTTTGAAGTAGACTTATTCATTCCGAATGATTTGATTACTTTGTATTAACAACACTAGGATCGAAGCAATCTACAAAGTATCATTCCATTGTTATGAAATTACCTATGCCGTTTGTTCTCTATGAAATTAAGTCTTTTTAGCTGGTTTCATGCCACAATTGTATTCACTCATTGAAATAATTAATCTAGTACCACTTTTTTTTCATAGAAGAGGTCGAAAAATCCTCCTGTGGCAAATAACCAGCGCTTCCAGTCCTGGTGGCCAAGCTTCCTCACCTCGACTACTGCCTCAGGTACCACCGCCACCGATGAGAGGGCGACGGCGGAGGCCCAGACAGCGGTGGCTGGGGAGGGAGAAGACGAGGCACCGCGCCCATGGCGTCTCTGGTGGTGGTTCTCTACCGCCCCTCCTCACCCTTCTCAACAGATTGCTTCGAATGCGAAGGCGAAGGTGACCACCACTGCCGCCTCGGCTGAAGCTGCACTGATGCTGCTCAATGAGCTAGTTGCTGCGCACGATGTCGGTCAGGTGCTGACTCGCGACCGCCTGTTCTGTCGCCTTACCTGCCGTGTCGATCGTTTCCGACTGGGGTTGCAGGAGAGGGATGATCAAGTGGGGCAGACGTCTTCTTGATTTTTTTGTTTTTACTTCACGTTCCTATCTTATTATTAATTCTATAGAAGGGTCTTTAATGCCATATGTTTCCTCCTTCTCTGAATCTGTTTAAATGTTTTTTGCTGTCAAATTCTCTCGAAGATAGTTATTTTGTTATGCCGCAGTATTTTGTTCTTCCCGGATAGCTGTTGAAAGTCTGAAGAGGTTTTGATCTCCCGATTCTTTCGAATTGAGAAATCCCAATCTGTTTTTTGTAGGTGACCCAGACATTGTAACCGTCTAAGCAAATAGGCCATATCGATGGTTTCTTCTCTTGGCTTATTCATAACACTATCGAAGGATTGTTGATTGCGTTCTTTTCGTCCAAATCGTTCCACAACCGTCCACTGCTGATAGTCTTTTTTGCATCGTAGTGGAGTGTCACTGTAATGGTACGATTTTTAATATCCCACTTTACTTTCATTCTCCTTTTTTTTGGTTAAAAACCTAACGATCGTAATGTCTCAATCACATACATCCGTTTGAAGGAAATGACTATTTTTCGCAGCAGGATTTGATCATGAAGACTTGTTTTTTTACCTAAGGTTTAAAGATGACTCGACGAATTAAATGTTGTGCCTCTGTTTTAAATCGCTTTTACACGGCTGGATTAGTAAGGTACGGAAAACCTTGCCTCTGCTTAACAGTGCGTAATTTGAGATGGATGGATGCGTATATCGCTAAAACTGGCCTTTAACTTCTTGATGTTGTTCTCCGCCTTGACCTTAGATCCATATGGTGATTGGCCCATTGGTGATGACGACGGCGTCGACAAAGATCGCCTTTCGAGGGATTTCTTGATCACCATACCAATACATTGACTGGCTACTGTCCCTCAGAATTTTCATCATTTTACAAGAAGTTATCAAAAAGATGATCCTAATCACGCGGGGTTTTAGATGGATGGGTCGGTCGTTTTTCTGCAACTGCTGCTCAGCTCAGCACAACCCTTCATCTTGGTCTCTAAACCAAGCCTATCAGAAAATTTGTCATTCAGGTAATCGGTTAACCTACTGCGTATGGGTTCTGTACTCATTCTTGGGAAATTCAGTCATCCGCGGTAAAAAACCACATTTCGTGACGCTTCCATGTGATGTTTGGTTGGGAATTTTTGAAGATAGAAACCAACCTTTGTTTCTCTTACATGCATAGTTTCGGATGTAACCACTCTTATCACAATTGGTTTCAGCTCACACCTACATTGGTTCGTGATTTGTTCAAAGATTTGAAATCGTCCTTCAGAAGGGAGTTACTCACTTACATTATCAATTTTTGCCATGCGTCCTGTGCGTTGATTGGCTCATCTTGTCTTCGCCTCAATACAATACTTTGTTAAGTATTATTTTAAGCTGCTGGATTAATTTTCCCATGCAATTCAAACGTGAAAATAACATAAATTACTCGTTAAGCCATCCACGGCTTTGAAAACGTGACTGGTAGCCTAATTTGCTTAAACCATGTTGGTGTCTCAGGTGATTTGTCCACCACTTTCAATGCTG